TTGGACAACAAGAAACCACATCCGGAAGAGAGCAACTGCCTGATTTTTGCCCATACAGAGCAAACATCAGTGCCATAGGAACTTGCCAAGCAACATGTTTTCTTTCACTGTTTGTTGTACTAATTCCTTTGGTCAGCACGTGCTATACTGTCCCCAGTCATCTGTGGCAAATGCAGCGCATTATCTGTGTTGGAATATATGATTGTTGAAGAAGGGTACGTTAAAATAATTTCCTGCAAGCAAACGTATGTGACTTGGAACCTGAATATGTGAAAGGGCTATTTTGTGCTTATCTTTCTCCTTGCAAGCACATCCAGTAACTCATTGTGACAAGTGAGAAATTAAAAGTCACCATTTCTTCCTTCCTCTCTGTTGGTGATTTCTGTCCTTAAAACCACAGACATGTAATTAGTTAAAGTGTTATTCAAGGAAGTTGCTTAAAGGGTCTTCCAAGGAGACTGGGGCAAAAATCTGCAAAACCAGACCTGAAGACACAAGAGAAGGGTTTTGCTTTTTTTTCCTTTTAAATTTGTGTGCATGATTCCCCATAACCCTTCCCTGCCATCAGCCAGTACTTTTGCTGCAGGACAGCTTTAAGGGAGGGAGAAACAAATCCAGAGATATCAATGGTTTCACCACCAGCTGCAGTAGATGGTGGGGGTGGGGAGTGGGACGTGTGGTGGTGCTAAGGAAAGAGGGGACTGGATTTTGGTCTTCTGTTTAAACCCACAAAATCACAGAACACCAGGCATCCTACATTTCCCCACAGGTGGAAGACCAGGCCCTCTGTGTTGGAGCGAACCAGAAAACTCCATTATACCTCATTTGTGCAACACGTTCATAGAAGAGAATCTGAAGCTGGAAAGCTGATGCTTGGTCTGGCTGGGCTTCCTGTATGACCTCCCACTTATCTGGGGGAAGGGAGAGAGGCATTGCTTGACTTTCCAGCTGCAGGGGGTTTTTCCCCCAAGAACTAGCTTCTGTTGCCCCTCACAGGAAAGATATATATGTTTTTTATAAAAATAATTTATTTTAAACATTTTTCCTGTGGACATGTAGCAATATTCAGCTCTGAGTTCTAGTTTCATGTACCTAATCAATGCAAGCAGAATTCCTGCTTTCAAGTTTTCCTCAAAATTAATTGCAGCTTCTGTAGAGAAGAAGAAAGTAGAGACCAAAAATAAATTAATAAATGCCTGGTCAGGTTAGACAGCAGAATGAAACAGTGGAATGGCCTCTGTAAGGAATATTTGGAAGTATTTCGAAAAACTCTCAGGCAGCTTTGCAGTGAATTCAGAGGTTTAACCCTGCCTGTCATGCACAGAGAGCTTATAAGTAGTTTAGGGGAGATATGGACTTGCTTTTCTTAGTTACCTGTAGACTTCATTCTATGAAAAATTCTTAGGAAGTGGCCCTAATAGGTGTAGTCTGAAAATCTGGAAAAGTAGTAAGTTATTGCAAGGCACAGACTCTGGACTGTGCTACCTGTCAGTCCGTCTTTAGCCTTATTTTTGCATTTTTTAGGATGCTTTCCCCAGTGTTGTATGCAGTGCAGTCATTCATCATGCAACTATTCACCCTGTTTGCTCTTTGAAATAATGGCCAACAGCTTGCCCATTTGTTATGCTTTTATTTATATGGGAGAGTTTGCTATGCTTTTACTATATATTCTCATAAGAATTTTCTGAGTTCTTTTTCTTGATGTTGCCTTAATACACAGATTAAAGAAAATGAAGAGATTAAAGGACATGAAGAATGTCATGGAGGGAAACAGTTCTGTAGCTCTTTATATAAGGTTGTGCACTTACTTTTGAATTTACAAATTATTGTTCCTATTGAGTCAATGCAGAATTATGCTTTTAATGAAACTTTAAAATAGGTAAGTTGTAGTTAATCTTGTGAGCAAATGTTTCCATGTTTATCCCATAATTACAGAATGGATAAGGTTAGAAGGAGCCACAGCAGGTCATCTGGTCCTTATCAAGAATAGTTAGCTAAAGGAATTTCTAACACCTTCTACAGAATAACAGTGTTAACTGTTTTAATGGCTCATTCTTGCAAAACTTTGAGGTGTAAGTCTCAGTAAACTCTGTGTGTTTCCCTTCTTGCCTTAAATGCTGTTTTTCATTTAATGGCTTACAGTTCAGCTCTGCCTTGGAGATTTTTTCCCTAGTTACTAGTTCTGAAGTACTGGCATTGGAGCAGCTCAGATTTGTGCAGTGAAGGGCAAGGAAACTATCTACTCTTGCAGGAGGTAGGGGTGTTCTTTGAAGCAGGATGAGTGTTTTTTTATTTCAGAGAGGTAAAAAAGCTCAAAATTCCTAGGCACATAAGGTATCCATATTAATCATTTGAAGTTTTGATTTCTCTCTTCCATCAGCTTCTTCTGAAGCTAGTTGTAATGCCCTGTAAGGAATCTGCCTTCAAAGCAGGGAGTGGAGATTTCAAGTTCCTATGGATTTTCTCCTTCCTTTGCCTTAATTGTTTGGCAGTGTCACTGGAGGAATTGCTTTGAAGGTGGGAACTGCTTGAAAGGTAGGCGCCCTCACAATGTCGTTGAATATGTATTCATCAGCTCAGTTGTGGCGGTAAAACTCCAAAGCCTCATTAAAGGGGCAAAAGAAGCTTTTTTTCTACTCTCTATGCAATTGATTTCTGCTCATACACTATGGCTGGCATACAAAGGAAGAAACTTCCTCTGATCATCTCTGTACTGTGCAGGAGGGAGGAGAGTGTGAGTGGGTGACCTTGTGTGCCTGAGCCACACAGCAGATTGCTGGGTAATAAATTTCTGTGCAAGGCTGTGGAAGTAAGCTGGTGACACAATGCAAGAGTAGCACAAACTGACACTACTTATCATTGCTTGAGATCCACAAGGAGAAAGGAGGCTAGGAAGAGGGGGAAAGAAGGAGTAGGGAAGATGAGGGAAAGAAACATGTTAAGAAATTAGAGGTTGGCAGATGGTTTTTACTGTCTTTAAATACAGTGGTGTGTTCAGTGCCTGCTCTGTGTTCCTGCAGCAGCTGCCTGAGCACATCAGTGACAAAAGGCATGTGAGGTGAGGGATAGGGACCTATTTCTGCAGTATTTATTCAAACAAAAATCCTGCTTATATGAAGCCTGAAAAATCAAAGCACATCTAGAAATAATTTTGCTTGTGCTTTTTTGGAATGTATTTGAAACTGAATCTATCAAACTGAAGAGCTCTGTGCATGTGGCACACCTGTATAGTGAGATTCACGATATGTTATTAGTTTTGTTCAAATGCCTTAGTAAATGACAAAATAAATAAAAAATTCACACTTGAAGTGGGATGACTTTTCTCAGGTAAAGTTGGCTTTTTTGTCAAGACAGGCTTACCTTCGTCATCTCTGGCTGTTTGGTTTTCTTTCCCAGGGAATAGATTTAATGGCAGGAGGTGTTATAAAGAGGGAAAGTCAGGTGGCAGTCATTTTTTTCTCTTAGTTGGATTCCTGGTTAAGCAAAAGATTGAATCCTGTCACTAATTCCCTTTCTTTTCTGTGATGGTGTTCTGCCCTAGGATGTGACTGTAGATTCTGCAAAAGTTTGCACATTACAATGTGGGATGGTTCTTTTCCCCCAGCTATTACTCAATTTTGCTGTGTTTCAGGGAGTGGGGGGCTTTTATTTCCAGTATAAATTTCATAGAAATCTATGACCTTAGTGTGTTTCACAAGGCATCACTTTGCAGGGGAAGTCTTCAAGGTTTTTGCTTCTGTATCTTCACAGCTGCCTTGCTGAGATGTGAACATCTTTGGTTTTCACTGAAAAATTAGTTTGCAGTCAGTGAAATCTGCCATTCCCTGGTTGGCATATCTCACTTTAGGTCTCCCTCCACATCTCAGGCTATTGTTTTGATGCATAATTGCATGCATTAAATAATAATGTACTCCTGCTGCAGTAGTAGTCACGTTCCCTGATTAGAAGTAAGCAAGTGGAGTGACAAGTCAATCATTTATCTGTATCATAAACACGCTTTTATTAAGGTATATTAAGGTCACGTTACCTGAATAGAGATTGTCTGTTAGCCTGCCTGTAGCACTGTTAGACAGAATTCATTCAGATCATTAATGCCTGTTCTCCAGTGTACAGCACAATGTCATCCAAGAGCTTCAGGCAGATAATTTTACTCATGATGGCTGGAAATGTAGACCTGTTCCTAGCTGGTTTATGTTTTCTGTCAGTAGATGGGACCAGTAGGGGACCAAAGTGGAAAAGGAATTCAAATGTGTTTCAAAGACTGGCCTGATTTTGATCTTTCATGAGGTAAATGAGCATTTTTCATGCCTTCAGGCTCGTCTTAAGCTAGGAGAGTATCTTGGTTATGTCATCCTTCCAGCAGAGGCATTCATGTGACACCAGAGAGATATGTTTCACTTAACAAGGAATAGCCCCTTGCATTAGACCTTTGCTTTGGTTCAGAACTTTCCTGACAGCTTTGTCGGGAGGCAGACGTGTCCCTTAACTCCTTTTCAGTCTCAGACAGACAGCTTTCATTTAGCCCCACAGTACTCCCAGCTCAAGACATGGGTTGCTTTAGGAGAGCCATTTTTTTCAGGTTTTCATTTTCCATCTCTGTGGAGATAGAGCTCTGAGTTTCTTGGCTTTACTGACTCACCTCAATTTCCTGTGCCCCAGACCAGAGTGATTTCACTAAATAAAGGTTTGATTCACAAGTCTTCTGGTCAGACTTAAAGTTCCAAGCAAAACAAACACAAAGTGTACAGTGCAGGCCTGTGCTTGATAATGGAACAAGCAAATAGGAAATGAAAGGCATATGATAGTCACTAGGATACTGCTGAGAAACCACTTTCCAGCTTGTAAAGATAGCTGTGTTTTAAACAGCCTTCTTACGTGTTCTTCATTACAGCATTTTCTTTGCCACATGCCATTGAGGTGACTGATGTTTTCAACACATTACTGACTTGTGGTTTTGCAGATACTGTGTGCATTCACATATTTCTCATTCTTTGTTTCAGAGATGGTGATGTTGCTGGAATGGTGGTCAGGCACCGATTGCACCCTTTACACTGACCCAGAGAGTTACCACAAGTACGGGAAGGAGAATGCCATCGTAATCCTTAATCACAACTTTGAAATTGACTTTCTCTGTGGTTGGAACTTTTGTGAGAGATTTGGGGTCTTGGGGGTGAGTTACTTAGTATATAAGATAAATCTCCTTGGATGTGGAAAAAACAGCAAAATAAGTTAATTGTGTTTTTGAATTAACAGATCTGTGCTCAAATTTCACTAGGCTGCTGTCCAAAATTAGAGGTGAACCTAAAGCAGTGCAGTGCAAGTGTGTGGAGACAGGATGGCTCAGGAAACCACAGCTATTTTAAAAGCATTGCAGTTAAAGCTGATGAAGGAAATATTTTCTTAACCTGTGGAGATCATTACAGTTATTTCTCTCTGTGTGTTTACTAAGTAACTATTGCAGTTCCTTGTGCTGCACAAAGATGAGCTAGCCCGTGATTCTTTCCCGGTTTAATTACAGAATTTGTTTGCTTTTTCCAGTGTAGCCTTACAAATCCACAGCTAGAGTTTGAGTGATGTAGCCTGCCTCTCTCAGAATGAAAGAGTAGCCAGCACTTAAGATGAGAGAGGCAGGCTACATCTTAAGTGAAAGCAGTAACTAAAAGCAGTAAGAGATGGGGGAGGCATGAGTTATTCATGGTTGAATACACTACTACATTAAGCTAGGGGTTCATGTGCCTTTGTTTTCTGGGTTGCTTTTTTGTTTCCCCTGTCAGATCATGGGGATAATTCAAGCCCCCATCTAAATCAGCCTGACTTCATTCTGTGATGGTGATGATATTATCTGTCTATAAAGGATTTAGATAAGAGTCCCTCCCTCACAAGGAGGAAAACCAGTGGCTCATTTTGGCAGTGTTCTTCAGCATCCTTGTAGCTTTGATACTGGCCTCTGGCAAAAGTCCTGACCTTGGATTGTGTGAACCTCTGATTTTTGCGGCCTTCCCTTTGGACTTCTTGCATTTTCTGGACATTGAGGTACCATTCCTGTCACTTTCAAATTAGAATAATGGCAGTCTGTTTAACAAAAACAGGGCCTTAAAAGGGGAGGAAAGTGAACCTAAGCATTATAGTCTCTTTGTGTAACCAAAATGGCTGTTGGCTTCTGAGTAACTTCTGCCATGTTATCTAGGACTTGAGTACAAGTCAAGAGCTGCAGGATGGCATGGAACAGTAGGAAATGTAGGGAAACCAGTTCCTATGTGCAAAAAAACAGTGGTGCTGAAGTACAGTCTGTCTAATTTGGTAAGCCAAATGCCCTCAGTTCTCTAAATAAAGCTGTGTTTTAGAGGGTCAGGTGCTTCTTCAGAAAACACCAATGCAGAAAATTGAGGGATTGTTGCTGTGTAGTTGGATGAAATCTTACTAGCTGCAATTTTTTTAATAGTTTTCCAAGTTAATAAGGTTTCTGTTTTAGTATTTTATGTTGTTACCTACACATAAGGAAACCACAAAGTAGAAACAACTGTTGGAATTACTGTGCTGCACTAACTGAAAAGATATTTTTCTTTTTTCTGGCTGCTTGCTTATATTATTCAGTTTGCATTTATGCTAATCTTAGGATTATTTTAGAAACTGATATATGCTGGTTGTGATTTTGCTTTTTTTTTCTTTAACAGCAAAACAAAAGCAAGTAAACAAAAGACTCAAACAACCAACACAAAACTATTTCAGTCCTGAGAAATGTACTGTGGTTTTACTTCCCAGAAACTGTTCCCAGAAGAAATAGTTTCCACGTGCTCTCATTTGCATAGATGTCTTTACTTAGCAAAGCAGTGCATTTCCCTTTTGGGGCAACCAGCCCAAGTTCTTCTTAAGCCATGTTAAAAAAAACCCATAAAGAATGGAAAATACCAAACGTGATTTTCCTGATTGGATTGCCTCTATTGCTGTACTGGTTCTTGTCTTGGGCCAGTGCAAGGGTAGGTGATTGTGCAGTGATGAGGAGTGAAGGTTGGTGACTTGTGCTGCCTTACATGAGCTTCCCTTGTGCAGAGTTTCATGTCATGGTGTGGCAGCACAGTTAGGAAGATAAAAGCCTTTATGGCTGGCATTTAGGAAAAGGGTTCCAGGAAAGAGGCATGTTGCACAGGGGCCTTTCTGAGGTGTCATAGCCTCTGGTGTTTTTTAGCTCAGGGACTTTGTGAGCCATTGGGTGTTTATATTTAATGATGTTTAATTGTATACTCCGTGAAGTTTCTATGCAAACTTTGGCTACCAGCCAACACCTTACTCAGCTTATCTCATGTCCGCTGCTGCTGAAAAGGAAATCTTGCACATGCAGTCTCCTGTGTCTGTTATGATGCTTGTCTGCCCTGTTTGGCCATGTTTTAAAACTCTTTCAGTCTCTTTTCTGCCTTAACTAATCCAGTGAAGAGGGGAGAAATGACTGGGGAGGAGGAAGAGGGAGAAGGTGAAGAGAGATTTGAGCCAAAGGAGTTGGAACTGACTGTGCTTGGCTTCAGCAGGCAGAATGGCTTTGTTGTGACATCCAGCTCTGCCCTACAGCTCTGGCAGACAGCAGTAACTCTCTTAAGAGAGTGTCACATGCATGTTCAAACTCTCAGTATTTTACAGCTAGAACATTTCTTTAATGAAGCCCTTAAATGTAGTAATTTTTTGCTTGGTTGTTGTGGTGTAACCATCCAGGCAGCTAAACACCACATAGCCACTTGCTTACTCCCTGCCTCCCATGGGATGGGGGAGAGAACTGGGGAAGGAATTTGGGCTTGAGGTAGAGTTTAATAGGACAGAAAAGGAAGGGACAAAAACAATGATTATCAATGATGGTGATAAAAGAATCAGGGTGTATAAAACAAATGATCCACAATGGAGTTGTTCACCACAGTCCAGTTCCTTAGCAGCAGTCCCCAGCCATCTTTCCCCCTGGTTTATATACTGAGCATAACATCAAATGGTATGGAATATCCCTTTGGCTATTTGAATCAGCTGTCCTGCTGTCTCTCCTCCCAGCTCTTTGTGTCCACCAGCCTGTTTGCTGGCAGGGTGGTGAGAAGCCAGAGTCCTTGATGTAGGGTAAACACTGCTTAGCAACAACTACAACATCCGTTATCAACATATCAATATTCTGCTCCTCAACACAAAACACAGCTAACTGGGAAGAAAATTAGCTCTGTTGCAGCTGAAATCCAGACTTCTTTTTGTTTATTTGAACATCCTTAAACTTGTCTTGCCCCTTTGGTTCCCAAAAAAAAAAGACATTCCCTTTTGAAAACTGCCTTTTCTGATCTTAGTTGAAACATTGAATTTGTGCATTTCTCTGCTCCTTGTCTTGTCTCTCTTCTCCTGGATTGGCTTTCTCCTTATACCCAAATTGCCGTAATCCCTGCAAGTTTATAAAGCTCTATCAGTGTGGCTTTGGTTTATCAGTGGGATTTAGGGGTTGGGGTTTTTTTGATGTTTCTGGGAGATGGAGTAGGAGTAGCATAGTCTCTTGCCTGTTTTTAGGTTTGTGAATCTGAGTGTTCTTTAAGACTCAGATCTTGGCATGTGTATGAATGAGGTTCTCTGCTGTGTCCTTCCCTTTTCCTGTCTGTGACATTCCAGTCTTAGGATTTACCTTATTGGGACAGCCTAACCACTGTGTCCCCATTCAAATGCATTAGTAGCCTTTACTTTCCTCGAGGTGTGTTGCTAACCATTCTCTTGAACAAAGACCCAACTGGACACCAGAACTCAAAATCAGGACTTGGGCTATTTCTGAGGAGGGAGCTGTTATTCAGGATTCTTACCAAAAGTACTTTATTATGCTTCCTGCCTGGATTCACTGCTTTGTTGCTTGGTCTGACAAAGCAGCAATAAAATAGCTTTGTTAGTAATTTTAACAGCCATTTGTCTGAGATGAAGACATTAAAATTGGCAAAAATTGCCTGTGCTTTAAAGCAAAACCTGGTGGTTTTAACCTTAACTACCGGTTCCATATGTCAGGCAACTTAATTTTATTTGAGAGTTGCTTATGTTGAAGCTTGCTGTTCGAAAAGCTGAGTGTGGCCTTAAATGTAGGTGTGAGAAGATACTTTTTTCTATTATTGTATGAGACTAATAGGTGTGTGGGCACAATAGGTTGTTTGTGCATTTTAATATATTCACACATTTTTAAACTAGATTTGAAGTGTAAAGGGACAAAATCAGGCTTACTAGTGGTAAGTCTGTGTTACCTTTCCAACATGGAGAAATTTCATTCAATATGAAGCATGAGGAATTAGGAGCATAACTAAATTTCTGGAATGATGGCTTTGAGTGACTAAAGAGACATACCTAGCCATCATGATGTCCCAGCAAGTATAATATGAAGGAGTGATATATTTCAAAAGTAGAGCAGTTGGAATCATTGAAAGTATGTCAGTGCTGAAGGGAGCCTGCAGAGCAAGTAACTTACAAGGCAGATTGCTGTTGCTAATGGTTTGCACTACAATGAAATTATTTTAAAACTCAGGAACAAGTTTTGTTGGACACTTCCAGCTTTCACATTGATTTCATGCTTTTTGTTGTGCTCTTTAAACCAGAGTTGTTGAATAACTGAGGCTGGACATGTAGAATCATTATTTTCTTTCTTTGACTGCAAAGTTGAGCAAATGCACTAAAGCAAGTTTGTTAAAATACTTTTTTTAAGGTGGTGTTGGTGCAGTCATTCATGAAGGAGAACTTCATGGGTATTTCATTTGAACAAACTTGGCCAAAATAAATTAACCTGGATTAAAATGTTAGTGTTGTAGATAAGTTGTTCCTGTCCAGTGGTAATTTCGTTAAACGTCTATTGAAATTACACCATTCTGAGCACTGAAAATGTTTGACTTCCTTCAAGAAGGCAGATTCCGTGGAATAAATCAGCACTTTTTAATGATTATTTTTCTGTTGAACAAGCTGTACTGTTCTATTGAACAATATTAAAAGCAACTGTCACATATTTACCAAAGCACTTTAGTAAAGGAAAAGTTAGTTGCATTTTTTCCCTCAGGTACTTTCACAGGAGCTGTGCATAGGTAGATGACTGAAACAAAACAACTCTAGTTATTTTAAGAGGGATCACAGAATCACAGAACACACAGAGTTAGAAGGGACCCACAAGGATCATCAAGTCCAACTCCTGGCCCTGCACAGCACCATCCCCAGGAATCACATCAGGTGCCTGAGAGCATTGTCCAAATGCTTCTCAAGCTCTGTCAGATGGTGCTGTGACCACTTCCCTGGGGAGCTGTTCCAGTGCTAAACCCTTAATATCCTTTTCCAGCCTAAACCTTCCCTGACACAGCTTCAGGCCATTCCCTTGGGTCCTGTCACTGTCACCACAGAGCAGAGATCAGTGCCTGCCCCTCCTGTTCCCCTCACAAGGAAGCTGTAACTGCAGAGGTCTGCCCTCAGTCTCCCCCATGCTGAGCAGACCCAGTGACCTCAGCTGCCCCTCAAGGCTCTTCACCATCCTTATGGTTCTCCTCTGGACACTCTCTAACAGTTCAATGTTTTTTTACATTGTGTCCCCCAAAGCTGCCCCCAGCACTGGAGGTGAGGCTGCCCCAGCTCAGAGCAGAGCAGCACAATCCCCTCCCCTGCCCTGCTGGTGATGCTGTGCCTGATGCCCCCAGGACAGGGCTGGCCCCCCTGCGTGCCAGGGCACTGCTGACTCACGTTCAACTGGCCAGTGACCAGGACTCCCAGGTCTCTTTCTGTGGCACTGCTCTCCAGCATCTCATTCCCCAGGATACAGGGCAGCTTCCAAGGGGAGGCCTGATGTATTCCTCCCTCACAAGAACAGCCTTTCCAGCATAATGCACTGAGGAGTTTCCTGTGTCTGATTAGTTCTGTTGTTAGCCTTCCTTCTACTGCTAGAACAGATGGGTGCATAAAATAGCATGAGGTGATTTAGTTTATTTTTATGTGCATCTAAGGAGTCATACTCACACATGTCTAAAAGAGGGCTTTTAAATTTTAAAAATGCATCAGCACAGTAAAAGAATCAGAATGTGCCCCAGGGAAGAGTTCAGACATCTGTTGTGCTTTTGTGGTTATACCTGTGCTACAGAACACACTACTTGTGTTCTGTATTTCACTTTATCTCACAGTAACATTTCTTGGTATCACTGGGCTAGATGCAACTTCTTTCCTGCCTCTTGTGAAACTCATGTTCTTTTTAAAATATGTAAAGTATTAGAAAATAGATATGGTGAAATAGTCATTTTAGCTAGCATTTTGGACTACAATTTCTGTACTTTAAAGTGTGCAGGACAGCTACTACATTGTCTCTCCTGACACTGTGTTCTGGAGGCTTTGTGCACTCTACACAGAGTACACTTAGGTTAGTTTATGGTAGTTCTTATGACACTCAACACTTAATGTAAATAAACTTTAAGAATATGTTGAGGTTTCTTCTCGTTTGTGGGGTGGAGGTGGTGGGGATAGGGCTGCTGTTGGCCTCCTTGTGCAGGAAAGTGGTAAAAGGAGAATCTATATCTCTGTGCCCAGTTTGTGGAGCTGGAAGAGGAGGCTGAGTTCAGTGTTGCTGCTCTCATATAATGGGCACTAATGTACAACATGGCTTGCAACTGAAATTACTGCAGCTGCTTCTCAGGGGAGCAGTGGGTTTGGAGTCCTGATCTGAGCCCATCACTGAAATTATGAAATTCTCAAATTCTCAAGAGAGAACACTATTATTGCAAAGCATTAAATCATTTGATAGAGATGGTTCCCCCATTCTTAGAAATGGAACTCTCTGTCATCCTCTGTTCTGCTTCTGTGTAACAGTTGCTGGTGAAGCTGTGTGATGTGCACTTGCCTTCCAGTCTTAAGCTTTTAGATAGCTTAATTATTTAAGGAATTTTCCTTCTCAGGGAAGGAGAGCAGATGAAAAAAATGAGCTGAGATAAAGAACTAGGTCAAGTCTCTTCTTGTAGCAACCAAATGAACAACAGTGACTAAAAAAGTAAAAGGAAATAGTTTCTGTTGATGGTAACTTTTACCAATAAGTAATTTCTAGTCAAATTCCATGCCCTGGAATCTATCTGCAGAGCTTTTGGATGGGTTAGCTTATAATAATATCATGGTCAGAAACTGGACTGTAATTACTCCCATCTCTTCTAAGGAAATGTCACTGGGTTTATTTTAGGAAAGGCTGAACCAACAATTTCTTTATGAACACAATACATACATGTGCCATTTTATTGATTAAATAACCAAGTGAAATGTAAGACAGCTCACCAGGGTGGGCTGGCTTGGAAGACAGGAAAGGAGCACATGGAATCAGTTCTCCTGCCCTAGGGGATGTTAGTCTGAAATGATCACAGAGTTAAATTCTGGAGTAGGATTAATTTACAGAACATGCTGAATGCTTGATAAATCACAGACTTCCTGTCAAGTGTCTGGACCAGTCACTTCGGTGTCTGTCACACCTGTGAGACAGAAAGAGTGCTTTTTTGTTTTTTCCTACTCCAGAAGCATGCTTTGATGAGAAATTTGCTATTCTAAGTATGCCCTTTCATAAACAAAACTGAACACAAATTAAGTATTCTTATTGCTGCTGTTGTTTCTAGTGTTTATGGTTTCTTCTATTGGTAAACCATGTGTGCATAGCATCAGTATGTTGTGCTGCAGAGGCTCTGTGACTCTGCTTTTTATTTTCCTCTTTTTTTTTTTCCCTCCATGTAGAGATGTATAGTTTCAAGGTATCTTAAAGGAACTTGAGCTGCCAGTGCCAGGATCTGATTGAATTAAGAATTTTGATTCATACAGCCCAGGTTATTTACATGGATTCCTCCATGTTTGAAGGAATTTGGCTTCTCTTTTGGGTTTCAGTGTTTGGGTAGGAGAGAGCAACACACACTCATATATATCTAATTCTAGAAGTCTTCCATGCAGATATCTGAGATTAGATTTGACTGTTCTGTCATATGAGAGAACCTTATTTTTCTTTGTTTTGCTTTTGCACTGGTGTTAAAACTGGGTCTGGTCAATATAAATGGTTATCTTTGCATCTAACTAAGCAAGTCCCATACCCACAGTGTACTCTTAAGTGGTTTAACCCTGTTTGTGTTGCTTTGATTCTGTCCTGCAGAGTTCCAAAGTGCTTGCAAAGAAGGAGCTCTCCTACATGCCTATCATTGGCTGGATGTGGTATTTCCTAGAGATAGTTTTCTGCAAGCGCAAGTGGGAGGAAGATCGGAAAACTGTGGTGCAGAAGTTGCTCAATCTCCGGGACTACCCTGAAAACTTTTGGGTGAGTGGTGCTTAATAAATGGAGTGTGAGGTAGCAGGAGTGAGAGGCACAGGCAATATGTGATGCTTACCAGATTGTTCCTGAGACTTTGGATTCATTAGCTTCCTTGGGAATATCAGGAGAATACTCTCAACTGAATTCTCTCTGGAGTTTCCCATGTTCTGTGCTGTTTCTTTCTCTGTAGTATGGAGCCCTACAGATACTACTGCAAAAATACCTGCACTGTGATGCACTCAGTAAATTTTGTGGTTCTCTCATTACAGGCTCTGGATAGGGGTAGATGCAACGGTTCATGGCTGTCTAAGAGATGCATGTGACAATGCTGTATTGAAGCACATCAGCTATATTTGTTACCTTAGCTCTCCTTTCACCTTCCCAGGGATTGCAGAGTTAATATACTAGAGTTTCTCCTTCCCAGTGATTCTGCCATTCCTGTGAAGGTGTTTGGTCAGACATGGCCCAGAAGAAGTAGAAGCCCCCTGGTCAGAGAAGTGGCCTGATGTAGCCATTGTCTCTGCACAAGGGAAAGAATTGTTGTAACTTTTCAATAACAAGAAAGTCTTACTTTTTGCATTACCATAATTTTTTAGTATTCACCATGCCTGGCATTTCTTTATCTGAGAATGAAAAGGCTTTGAATTTTTTCCTTTTCTCAGAAAATCATAAAAATTGCAGTTCTTCTGAGCTAGTGATGGCAAGAGTGCAATTCAGTTAAAGAAATGGAATCTTAAGCAGCGTCCCCAGGGCCTACAGAAACTGTGCTGTTTCCTCATGAAGATGTATATGCTGTATTTCTCATGCTCTGAAACAAATTCCTTTTGTTAATTGCCATTGGTTTAAATGAGTGCTAAGCAATCAAAACTAATCTCTGTGCTTCAGTGTTTATGTGACTTCCAGGCAGGAGGCTGTCTAGCAAAGGGGTGATTCTGGGACTTCAGTTTCAGTTTCTCTCCAGAGATTTGCCTGTGCTCTGTGACTTTTCTGTACATGTAGGCAGCTCCACTCTAATCAATGAGCACAAGCCACCACCATCCTGTAGATTGTCTTGTAGAGGGATTGCTAAAAAGGAGGTATACCTATGTAATGGAGATTACTGTTAATGTACACCTGGGGTTATTGCAGTGTGGAGTTTTAATTTGCTTTTGTATGATGACATAATGTCAAAAGGCACAAGAATAGCACCTTGGAAAGTAGAGAAGGCAAAGCATGCTAAGTGAACAAGAGAGAATTTCCCATCAGTTCCTCTGTGTCTCATCAATCTGAATAACATTATGCATGCAACACACTGGTAAAAGCTCTCTTGGATGAGCTAGAGCTGAAGCTGGCTGCTTGGCTAGTTTCTTCAATATCTCTGTCTTTTTTGGCTACATTTTTGCTGTGGGTTATGAGGACTTACTTTGTGTCATTTGGCAGTGCTCTCTGATGTGTTAGTTTGCATTCATGCTTGGCAGAAAGCAGATGAGCAAGTGGTAGATCTCCAAAGATCTGTGTGCTCTCCCCTGCCTGCCAGTGGCAAGATTGTAATTATTCATGTCTGAGCACTTCTGTATAGTTCATAAGAGCATGAGCCTTTCAGTTGTCCTGCATGTGCTGCCTTACATCTGTTAACAGCTGTCTCATTGGCATCAGAGTTACTGCCTGAAGTTTTCTGTCTTAATATCTGACCTAAACCTTCCCTGACACAACTTCAGGCCATTACCTTGGATCCTGTGCCACAGGGAAACTAAGCAGGTTAGAATGAGGGGCAAACAAGCTGGGCACTGAAGCATTTCCTAGAAATTTGTTTGGTTTAGATTCTTAGCAAGTTTTAGATGCCATTATATTTGAATGCTTTACCATCAGAGAGAGATTTGCAACAGGAGGATGTTTGGAGTGTTTTCTAACAGCTCATTAGAGATGGAGTGACTCAGAGAAACCAAGTCATTCTGATGGCAAATAGCAGAGCAGATCTTAAAGCCAAAAGGCTGAGGTTCAAACTGGATGGCAGGTTGGATGGATGAGTGTTTGGATTTGGGGTTTTGGGTTTGTTTTTTTTTTGGTTGGTTGGGATTTGTTACCTCAGTCAGATAAATTACATAAATGTGTGTGTCGCTACATGTGTCCCAGCTAGCAGTGTTAATTTGGGTTGTGCTGGTGGGAATTTGAGAGAACTCTGCTCAATCAGAAGAAAACATGAGCTTCTGTCTGACTGTATTTCTGTTTTGGTTTTAGTTCCTGATTCATTGTGAGGGCACAAGGTTCACAGAGCAGAAGCACCAGATCAGCATGAAGGTGGCTGAAGCCAAAGGTCTGCCCAAGCTCAAGTACCACCTCCTGCCACGAACAAAAGGATTTGCTGTCACCGTGCAGTGTTTGAGAAATGTAGGTAAGGAAAGTCACAGGGGACAATGCTAAATGGTTATTTCCTCTAACAGCTGACAGTTTGCCATGCTTTTCTTTTCCCTGTAGTGTGTGTCCTAGCAGAAAAATCCTGGGATGCTCTCAAAAGCATTTAGTTTTTTCACTAGCCTCTGGTTTTAATAAAAAAGTCCTGAATCGGTTTGTGGGGTTGATTTTGGTTGTGGGTTTTTTGTTTTGTTTTTTTTTGGTGGGAGTTTCTTGTTTGGTTTTTTGAGTTTTAATTTATTATTGTTATGTTTTGTTAACTGCAACTCTGTGTTGAGGAATCTCAGTTGCATATTTTGTACCAATTGGTACTTATTTTGTTGCATATATCGTACCTATTGCCAAAGAATAGTATTTCTTATTATTTGCTAAGCAATTCTATTCTAAATGAAGCAAATGCATCAGTAGAGAGTCTGAGGCAGTGTGTCTTAAAATAATTTCTTGTGGTAAAAGGCTACGTCAAATAATGCAATTTTAAAATCCAAAAATATTCTACTTTAAATTTCTGTATAGATTTGCTCTTTAGAGTTTCTTAATGGAGCTGAGGAAGGGGAGTGGGCCTTGACTGATGATACATGTAGGTGAAAGTCATAAACACTTTCTACATTATAGAACATGAGTAAGTTTTTCTTTATTAATACTGTTTTGAGCTCCCCTTTTTTTTCTGGTTACTTGCATTTGCCAGCTTTAAAGTGACATCATATTGCACATGTTGCCTTTGAAGTGATACTCTTTGACTAATACTATCTATCAAATTCTTTGCCTAATACTACTGTCAGTCTTCTTCTGTGTACTTCATGGGCACAGGAAAGACAGTGCTAAGTAGCTGTAGTGTTGCAGAGTCTTTGGGATCTGGTAGATTTGTGTGATAGATGCCTGGTGTGTAAGAAAGAAAAAAGTGTTTCCTGGTTTAGAAGAAAATGTTCCAACTTGACTGAAGTTAATGTCAAAACTTCTTTTGTCCTTGAAGACGTGTTTTCACTTGGCATATCTGGGATAGCTGCTGTAAGGAAAGCTTCCCAGTCAGCTGGCTTGCTATCTCTTGTATTTCTTCTAAATAGCCTCTGGCAAGCCAGGTAGATCATACCACTGTTGTAGCTCCCCAGGCACCCACAAGGTCCCACCCCCACGATGGATAGCATAGCTTGGATCCTTTCTGGCCCATGAAGAAGAGATAAGTTATGTGAAGCATCCAGCACCCCTCCAAAGAGCATGGCTTAGCCTTGCCTGTGGAATCAGGGTGCCTGTTCTGCTGAGGGCACAACAGCGGCTGGTAGCAGAAGTAGGGTGGAGTCTGTGGCCTCTAATGCCCTGAGCTGGGGATCAGGAGCAGGTTATTTTGGTGGTGGTTTTGTTCTTATCACTGCTGTGTGTAATGTAAGCAAAATATGGTGTGATTGTGGGAAAACATTCCAAAAGGAAACAATTTTAGGAAATCCAAGTGACATAAAAAGTTTTGGACATCCATGCCACACAGTACCATAACACTTACCAGTACCCTAAATATTTGAAATTCCTTTAGAAAAAGGAGACTGAGGTTGCTAGATTACTTATTTATTTAGGGGAGTAGAGCATATGTCACTGCCTCAATGCAGAAGCTGTAACTTGCTAGATGGAGCAGTGTAGGACAAAGGCAGTATTTCCCTGTGAGGGTTTGAGGAGAAGCAGAGTCATAACTTCTCATACACAGTTTCAGCAAAAACTTGAGCTTAAAAATCCAGCCAATAAACCTCTGAGATTTGGATGACCCCATACTGGTGCTGCAAGTTCTTCTAGGTTTGTTGCTTTATTTGCCTTGTTATTTTTTGCAGTGACAGTGAGATAGAAAAGTTACTGCTTGGGTTGGTATGTGTTTCTGTCCTATAGAGACAAGGGGATCATGTAAAGAGCATCTGAAAACAATGTCCTATTTTTTAGAACTGTGTGTAGGATTATTATGTACAGATAATAAGTCCATGCAAATTTTTTGAATAGAGAATGTGGTGGCAGTCTCTTTAGACAGTCCATGATCTGGAAGTGTAATACTGTCTAGAAATTAGATCATATCTCTAAAAGTGAGAGACTGGTGCTGAGCTGCCTGAGCCCACTTTGGGCTGTGCCATTTAGGCTGATGCACTTTCTGCTCTCCCACAGGGGTGGTGGGCCTGGCTGGAGTGCCTTGCTAAGGGATGTAGCACGACATAGCAGTGGAGCCAAGTCACAGGTTTGGGACCAGTTCACAGCTGGGTGTGACAGGAGCTCCTGTCCCATTTTTTTCATCCTTTCTGACAAGGGTGTGATTCAGCTTGTCAGAGGCTGTAGTGCTATGGGATGGGTAGATGCTGGTGTCTCTGGCTGTAGATGTAATTCACCCGTGGCAGCAGCAATCACAGGTTGGTCCTCTTCAAAACTTTGTATCAAGCCTTGATGGTATCTGCTGCAGTCACTCAGGAACAAAAAGAGTTCAGAAGTAATTCTGCAGTAGTTGGAAATAGACATCAGTCTATTTCCATTGTCATCAATGACATCAGTCTGGCAAGCCCATCTCTTGTGAAAAACTTAGTTTTAGAAGGAGCTTATTTATTGGAATCTGCCTCCATGCCAGTGATGTGATATCTGTCAGCATAAACAGATGTATTTGGATAAAAATACCTTTCATGCAAAATAACAAGTAAAGAACCTTCCCTCCTAACTAATTTCTTTCATAAGTGATAATGGGATTGTTTTTTCCTTCAGAACTTGCTTTCAGAAGTTCAGATCTCTGTACATAATTTGATTCTTAAAGAAATGCTTTTAATATTTTCTGAACTTGTTCTGATACTTTTGTCAGTGACCATTCCTATCAGTATGGTTTTATAGATGCAGTCCCCAGGAACTTAATTCCTAGAAGCTGTTCACTTTCTTAATAAATTGCTGTTTGCTACCTGTACTGTTCATGGAAGCAAATGAAAATACATATCTGTTTCTAAGACATGAATCTATTACTTACAGTAAAAGTAGATGTCTCAAATACTGCCAAAGATATATTTAATTACTACTTTTATTGTCTGGCTGTATATCAGGCAGTTCCTTTCAGCTGCTTTTATTTAGTAATGACTTGTACTTAAAAATGTACTTCACGATGGATTGTAGATAAGCCCAAGTTTTGTTGTGTACCTTTTCCTCCAGTTGTGCATGCTGGGAACTGCTGTCCCAGAGGGACTGCATGAGAATTCCAGGGTGATATTCTCATGGAGTTTTGGGGTATGACAGTGGTTGGTCATATTGCAATGACTTGTTGTTCCCCCGTGAGTTGTATATTAGTCCTGGGTTTTTTTTTTTCAAGTGGGTTTCTATTCATCATCCAGAGCAAGTAACACAATTTGAGAGAAGATGAGTGGGATTTTTTCAAGCTGGCCCAATTAATGAAATGTTAAATCAAAGGATTGTGTCAAGGTGGTGTCACAGCAGCAGTACAGTGAATGCCACTGTACCTTTCCCTCCCTTTTCCAGTCTTCAGATCATTCTGTGCTAGTATGAAGATGCATGCAGCCACACTCATTGCCTGTTTGTCAGTGAATCATCCTGGCATAATCCACCATGGCCACAAAATAATGTGTGAAATTCAAGAGGACAGTCAAAGTAAGAAAAATCCTCTCTAGATATGTAATCCAAAGATTTATTTTTTAGTTTGAAGTTAAGAAATTAAATCTTAAATTCTTAAGTACTTAGCTCTCTGTCAGAATGCTGTAGATGAAACCCAGAGTTAATGAGATGACAAAAAAGCTGGGCAGAGATTAGAAAACAAAATCAAAAACAAAAACCTAATCGGTTTTTTGACAGAAAGAGCTTTAAAATATTTGTGTTTTGTTTTTAATGAAAAAGAGATTCTGAGATATAACTCCTTTCAAAAAAATATTACACAATTGAAGCAAAACTCATATTTTGCTTGTATTAGTCGGAGAGTGGGACAGTTGTAGTGTTTTCAGGATACTTTGGAGGGGTTTTTCCACTTGTTTTACAATGTGAATTTTCTGGTCTCTTCAGCTTTTGGGTGAGAAAGTCATGAGATGTCCAATTCTATTTATGCAATTACATAATCCATGTTTAATGATAACCTGTTTCAGCATGTCACACAGCATGCTAGTGCTTCTTTGACTGTGGATGCTTTCTGGCAGATTTTCATTTCATGCAGTCTTTTTCTTGGACACTTTCATTGTTATTCTTTTCTGCTCTCTCAGAATGAGAAAGCTAAAATCTTTAGTTATCTTCAGTTACATCTGGATAACAGAGGTCTGTTTACTCCTGCACATTGATACCATTGTCTTGGGCTTGGCACTGCCTTGCACCAAAAGATTTCAATGTGTTATTAAAAGATATTAGACTGAATGTTAAACTGTGGACCAGTTGGAAACTGGAATAGCTTTTTTTTCGCCCTGGAGAGAAGGAAGCTCTGTGTAAGACTGTCAGCACATAAAGATGTTACTGTCCATCTCCACAGAAGGTTTTTTCAGAACAGGAGAACCATCTTCCAATGTGTCTCAACAAAAACCCAATTCATACAAAAATTCAAATGTAGATGCCTTGTAAGAGATGGAAGTGTTGTGTATATCATACTTTGCTTTATTGCATCCCTATTGTTGTTAGAATAATCTCATGCTATTAAAGAATAAACTAAGAAGCTTACACTGTATAAACCAAACTGAGCTCTTGTTTTCCTTCAGTTACATTGGATTAGTAAATTAGAGTAGATTAGTAAAATCCTTATACACTAAGAAGCTTAAAAATGGAGGCTGATAATTGATTTTTTAAAAAGTAATTTCATACTTATGTTTTACATTGAGAGTAGTGTGCCTGAAGTAGATTTTGTCTTGTTTATTAGTTTTGAGTTTGAGCTAAGAACCCAACTGTAGTAGGAAAAGAATGGAGTTGTTAGTGAGGGACAGAGTCATTTTGCACTGGCAAGGGTTTGGCCTTTGTTTTCAGGATTTACTTTCAGCACTGAAGCCAGGCTTCACTATGAATTCAGTTTTGCAGTAACAAATGATGTGGTGAGTTTCTGGGAGCTGAATGAGACCAAACCATATTTATCTCTCATAGCTAGAGAGGTTTCAAAACCAAGAGCAAATCTGTCCTGTGTAATAAGTCCTTCTTAGGTGAGTCAAGAGGTTTCACAATAAAGGTTTACCACATGCATTTTTATTAATTATTGCAGAACTCTGGAGCAGAAAGCCTAAAGTACATCAGGCTACACATGAAAATTCTTCTTAGTCACATTTGTGACAAAAAATAGGAAAGTTGTTTTGCTGTCATTGCACTCAGAGTTCATACCATGATGCACAGCTGATTTCAGTGTCAGGAAAATGAATCATTCCCTGGTAATTTTGTGACATCAGGAAAATAGTGTATCTAAGGATGCATTCAGATAAACTCTTTTGCAGCTATTCATGTGGTTCTAAACAGTGAATGCTTTTTCTGTAGCAGCTGTTTGTGATTGCTCTTTTAGTTTATCTGCCATCAGCCTTTGCAAATGGTTTTACTGCTCCTACCCAGTCCTGAGCTGTGCAGTTTTCGTGGTGCTGGAAGTTTGGCTGCAGTTTTGTTCAGCAGAGCTTCCATGTTCTGTTCCTCACATCTGCATGTTCTCATGGCAGCATCCAGCTCACACAAGGTGTGGTGTGTCCTTGTCTCTCTGCCTCTGCCCCAGAGCAGGTGCCTGAGTTAGCAAACAGTGGAAGGGAGCTGGGGCCATTCATGGCAGCATTCAGCCCTGCTGCTGCAGGAGGTCTCTCACACACAGTTTACCTGTTCTCAGTCAGAGGGTGATATAAACAATTGCTCATTTTTTATAAAATGTGTATCTGCCTGGTTGTTTCCTCAGATTTAGGGGGCAGTTGTTGATTCCCAGTGAGCTGAAAAAGGTAATAGTTCTGCAACCATTTGACTCCTAGGAAGTCCCAGGTGTATTCTGTCAGAAGCTGTCATACTGTACCTGATGAGGGAGGGATGGAGAGGAGGCAAGGGTGGATGGAGAGCAAACCTGTCCGTTCTGCAGGTGCAGTTCCTGAAAGAGTCACTGGTTATTTGGCTTCTGCAAACCTGCATGTTGGATATTCTATTGTCGTTTTTACCTTGGTGATAGCTCAAACTGTGGTGCTATTGCTGATGACTTCCTTAAATATTCCCCTTGTCTGAGAGAGAATTACTTATTTCCATTGTATTACTACAGTAAATACATAACCTGTTTTTCTTCTTGTAGTTTCTGCAGTCTATGATTCTACCCTTAATTTTAGAAATAATGAAAATCCAACATTGCTGGGAGTTCTAAATGGAAAGAAATATCATGCAGATTTATATGTAAGGCAAGTAATCCATATTTTAATTCCTTTTAAGCGGGAGTGTGTACTTGAAATCACACTTGGTCAAATAAGGGAGTGTTTTCAAGTGGATAACAGAAAGCAGATCTCTACCAACCTGGCTTCACAGAACTTCAGATGAAAATTCATATGGGTTGGTTTGTGTTTCTGGTAAAGTTCTGTGATTGTGAGGAGTCCATAAATGTCTAGAGAACTTTTTGTTTATTATTTTTTACTCATTTGTGGGTCAGCTCAGCAGCAGCACTGGGATGTCTTTTCACTCACTTCCCAGAATACCAAACACAACTGAAGTGTTCAGGTGGAGTTGCTTTACACCTCTCTGGCACAGGAGTTCCAGAGACAGTTCCAGTTCCTCTGGTGGAGGTCAGCTCAGACTTTGCTGTCTGGTGGTGTTGTTGTTGATATATTTGACAGCTGTGCCCTCCCTACCAAGAAGGGGGTTGTTTAGTAGAAAAAGCATTACCTGGATTCCTTTCATTAAGGTTTCTATAAATTAAAAATACCCTAATGGCTTCCCATGATCTTAATGGGAAAGAGCCAATTCCCAGGTGAGGTTCCACCAGCAGCACCTGTGCTACAGGCACTCAGGGCATGGGATAATGTAGGGTTGGAGCATGAACCTAAAAGTGATGCTGCAAGTGATCAGGAGGTCATCATATCCCCTTAAGAGCTATCATGGACCATGGTCCAGTTCCTTTATCCTGGACAGCAATATGAAGAGGAATGGGATGACCTTTTCTTTCTACTTCTCCTTTTCTACCTGTTTGAAAAAGTATTTTTTTCAGAACTATTTTTGTCCAAGGGTAAAAAGAAAGTTTCTCTTGATTCCTCTTCTCACATGGTAGCTCACCTAGTGTCCTTGTGTTTGGTGTACATGGCCTGGCTGGATGGTGTTCACAGGGCCCTGCCTGTGGGTGTCAGCTCCAGCAGAGCAGAGGGGTTCCTCTTGCTGAGTCTCCCTTTGCACCATTCCAGCCTGCTGCAAGTCAGTCTGGCATAGCATGGAAATTGCTTTTCTCAGCTCAGGATAGCTGCTTACACATCCTGAAAAGCTGTTACAGGCAGGGTAAACCTCATGGCTAAATTTGTTTTGGCAATTAGTTGAGGACTATCACAGATTCCTTCAAAATCTCCTCCATATTTGCTTGTTGAAGTGCTGTAGGTATGGCACAAGTTAAAAAAGGTGGGAAATGTGGTATGTCCTGTCAGATAATCTGTCTGTATAATGTGAGTGCTGTTCAGGAAAGTCAAAGCATTTAATATTCTTCAATTTCTCTTGTTTACCGTTGGCAGGCGGATTCCTCTAGAGGATGTCCCAGAAGATGAGCAGGAATGTTCTACCTGGCTCCACAAACTGTATCAAGAAAAGGTTGGATTTTTTGTCAAGACAGCACTTACAAGCCACTAGTTCCTTTTAGTGCTAGTAGACCTTTCCAGTGTGCATGTGTAGTGTCCCAGTTTGGAGGCTGGGAGTGAGTTGGTTTGTTTGGCTTTCAGGGTAAGTGCTCTATTTCTCTGCAGGGTAAGTTCTCTGTTGCACTACAAACTTGATCCTGTGCTTCCAGTCATGATTGCTTTTGTTTTGTACATAGAGCAACAGGAAGAAAGCTTAAACAAGACTTTCTAGAGCAGTTTTAAGCCTCTTCTTTAGAAAATTGCATAAGGATACAAAACTCGAAATTGTCTTACTGCCTTCTGATTGGTAGAAAGACCTTCTTTCCCTAGAAGACACCTTCTAAATATCAAGAAGCAGTTTGTGGGCTAAATAAGGTCTATTCTTTAGTGTATTAAAATTTTTTTCCCTTGTTTACCCTGCCTTTTTTACCAATGCAGACATCCAGCATTAAAAGAACAGGCTGATAAATTGTTTTCACACTGTGGGTTAAGAAGGCATGCATTTAAGATTCCTGATTTCATAGGATGAGGAGAGAATAATAATGATTGTATTTGTAGATGCCCAGTGGTTTGGGGTTTTTATTCTTTTTTTTCCTTTGCAAATGCTTCCATATGAATCTTTCATCTTTCAGAATCTGTTTCTTCTGGGCTGGTTTTATAAATGTTGGAGATAGTTGTTGGGGAATGTGCTTTTTGAATGCACACAGCACTCCCATTTCAGTCAGCAGGAGTCATAGGTATGCACGGCATGAGGGCCTGGCAGTTCACTTTGCTTCAATACCTTGATCAAAGTTATGTATTCAGACTGGAATGCAGCAGTGCTTTGGATTTAGAAATTATAGAATATAGCTATGCTCTGGTTTCCTCTCACTGGGACAGCAAAATTCTGCTGTGCCATTTGTCATGCTCTTCCCGGCACACCACATTGACAATGCCCTGGCAGTTCTGTTTCAAGCCATGCCTGTTTCTGCTGTGCTGTATAGCTCCTCTAAGCAGCTTGCTTACAGGAATGTGGAAAGTAAATGTGTCTTGAGACCTCACTTGTAGGTCTGCTCCCCTTGCCTCTGATGCCCCTTCTCAGAGTTTGTGCTCCCGGCACCTGATTGAGGCACAGCCCCCAGCACCTTTGCAGAAAAGGAGGCTGTTACCCGCGGCCCATGTGTGTGTAAATGGTCCTTCTGCTCAGCATTGCAAAGTCCACTTTCTGCTGCCATGCCTTTGGAGTCGTGTTTCATGTCCCTGAGAACTGTTCAGACATTTGCAGGACAAGAGCATAAGTGTGAATGTGGTGATTGTTTTCCTCAATCCTTTATTACATAGTTGCAGTAATTCACTCCAGGATTTTTCTGTTATTCCCTCTTTGGCAAACACTCAGTTGCTTCTAGTGCTAACAGAGGGTACATCTACCCTTCATAATATTATATTGTACAATATATCATAGTATTCTTCATGACAACTTCATTTGCTGGTTGGTTAAGTCTCTGGTTTCCTATTTAATTGCAGGAGTGAAGTTTTGCATCCAAGAGTGAATTGTGCTGTGTTCAGTTTTCCATTCCACTAAAACCTTTTTTGGTTATGTGAATGTTTTTGATTTATTAAGGCTGAGGGGAGCTGTTTGTTTGTTTGTGTTTTGGTTTGGGATTTTTTGTGATGATTTTCATTTTTCTCTGAGGGCAGCATGTTTCTCTTTCTCCAGCTCTTTTACTTTAGTGAAACTTACTTCATTGCAGTCATTCCTGGTTTACTGAAGCCCTTGTCTTTGTAAAATCACACTGGCAGAATATAGAGCAGGGACAACTTCTTCCAGAGTTCTGAGATGATGAAAGCCTACCTGCAGGGTAAAAATACAATTTTTTTTTTCACCATTCTGCCCTGCATGTTAAAAAGATTATGGGCTCTTAGGTCAGATAATAAACAGCAGTGCCTCCCAGGTGCTGTTTCCAAAAATTAATTCTGTTTCAGGTCATCTTCAGAGTCAGAAAATATTTGTGATATAATGTAGAAAATTTGTTATTCAAAGGGCAGTAATTCATTGCAAGATACACACTCATCCCCTGCTTTGTCTGTTTTGCTTGCAGCATTTCACTTGCTGTTTCAAAGTCAGACAAGCTGTGCATGCTACTGGAAAGCAGAGACCCTATTTTAACACACATTATGGTTCCCTGTGCTGTTGCTTATTCTCAATAATTTTAATAATTTTGCAGAAGTTTCTCAAGACTCACATACAATATGCTGAATTATGCTGTATTAGCACGATTCAGTGGCTGGAGAATGCCTCAGGTACTGAGGTCAAGGCCTGTGCACTCAAAGTGATCAGGATTGCAGAGCTGTTGGAATGAGTAATGAAACCAGCAGCTACTGAACATGGAGGGACATGAATTTTTTTAAAAATTTATTTATTTCCTCATACTGACATTAGTAAAGGAATGAGAGTCTTTGAGAAAAGCTTATTCTTTTGTTTTTTCTTCCTTGTCTGCTCTCACCTACAAGTACCTCAAACTGAGATACTTCTCTGTGGGAGCCTGTTGTGTTTATGTTCTTGCTACTTGTCACTTCATTTTTTGGCTTAGTCACTGCTACAAACACAGTTGAAGAGTCCTGCCAGATAAACAGTGTCATTGTGCTGCTGCTCTAAAGCAAACACTGTTCTCCTTCCACATACGGCCACCACTGTATCAGTAAGTTCCAAATTATGACAGAAGTTCAATTTGGGTTGCACATTGCCTTCTCTTTTTATTTCTTTTACTTTTTTTTTTAACTGCCATTGCTAGAAAGGCTCCCTGTGACTTTAACAAGGACTGGGTTGAGCATCTTTTTGCCAGGTCTGAAGAGGTAGCATGTAGTAATCACAACTCTGCTAGTCCTTTCATGTTTGTTTTCTTTTTTTGCCTCATTATAGCCTCAGCACCTGAAGTAGAAGTTCTGTTTGAAAATCTTAATTTTCATTAAAAAGAAAGCAAGCTTCTAATTCTTCTTGCTTGTAAAAGAAGCTTGGAAGACAGGGCCTGAAAATATATACAGAAATGTCCCAGGGAATTAGCAAAGCCTGACTGAAGAGGAGAAGTGTATAGAACTCCAGTGTTTGGGAACAAAGTATATATTTTTGGATCCTCATTGTTTGTGGGCTTCCTCACGAAGGGGCAGCAGCTTACCTGTGCTGTCAGGCCTCCTGTGGGAATGGACAGGAGGAATCCAGTCAGCCTCTTACAAGGAGATGGATGTTCCCTGACTTGCCCTCACTGCATTACCTCACTGTCTGAAGTAACTTAAATGTGCTGGGGGCAGTAGAGGGAGCATGTTTCCGTGTTGGAATGTGATACCTGCGTGGATGGAATTCATTACAAACCAAAAAGAAGCTCTGTAGGCAGAGGAATGAAAGGAGCCTAATGTGAGGAAGGTGATTTTGGGAAATGGTGAGGTGTATCATCTGTTTAAAGTCTGTCTTGTTGCTGGGTATCATAGGCACCCTCACAAAAGCTTTCAGGACAGATGAACCCATAGATGCCTTTTGCAAGTGAATGAATGTATTTAAGGGTAAGGAATAGTAACTGAAGAGCTGTTCCCCACAACAGTGGGAAGTATGGTGGAGCTGTTGGCCTTGACATTGTTTTGCCTTTTGTGTTTGTTTTCCATCTGTCTCAAGCCTCCCAGTGAGGTGTGGTCAGTGGTTTTGCTGCCCCTCGTGCCATGCAGAGCCAGCAAAGAAAGCCCTGCTGTGCTTGTTTCAAGGGAGCCTCTCCTGCTCTCTGTAGTAGCAGGCCCTCTAATGGCAATGCCAGCAATAGTCGGGAATTCTTCACATTCCTGGGTAATACCAGCATTTGGAAGCCTAACTGTGTGTACTTAGTTCAGTTTTCTCATGATGAGTAGCTCTGTGTTCTAAAGCAGTCTTCACTGCAGTGTGAAGAAAATAACATACACTGTGAACTCTGTTGAAGATGGCTCAGTAATTGGCCACAGTGATCCCACTGCAGTCCAGCTCACATCAGTAAAACACAATTTTTGTAATCTCAATAAAGAGAGGGCAGTGCTTCAATTACTGCATAATTCCATAAAAGCTGAATGATCATTTTGAAATAGACAAAGTGGTAACAGCTTGTAGTTGCTCAAGTTGCTATCAAGTAAGTAATTGTTTGTGTCAACTGGAGTGTAAGTATGAAATCATAGCATAGTAAAAAAATAGTCTTTTGGTTGATTCATCTTGGCTTTCCTAAAAGTTTTAGAAACCAAAAATCCTTTCTTTAAAGAAATATTATACTTCATTCTGATTAAGTTAATTTTTTTATGTCAATCTAATGCTGACTTCATTATTCAGCCAGATTTTTTTTGTGATAACACAGATCAATAATTTTTGCTTTTAACAAAGAGGGAGGATTTTTTTTTCCCCCACCCACTTTTGGTATCTTGGATTGGTGAGATCAGTAAAGGCAATGCTATTCACCCATGTGGAGAACAGAAAAAACAATCCCCAGCCCATTATCCTCCTTGTGTTATACTTAAAGGTCAAGTCATATGCTCATAGGCAGTGAGAGATTTTGTGCTGTTGACACACTACACTGCCTCTAGGGAGGGTCAGCACCCAAACTTCCCACTACAAGCAGCACGGGGACAAGGTAAACAAGACTACATCCCTGGGACAAAGGCAGGAAGGAGTGGTGTTCTTTGGAGTGTGATGCCTGGTCACCCTTTCTGACAGGTTTTTGGGTGCTGTTTGAGAGCAGCAGTTGGAGGAAACAAGAGGGAACAGGGAATGCTGCTGAGGATGGAGCCCAGACACTTCCCTGGCCTACCTGCAGTGCTTGGGCAGTGGCTGTGGCTCCTGCAGGAGTGCATGTCCCATCATCCCTCCTGTTTTCCTCGGCTGCTGTGCTCTCCAGGTATGGCATTTTTCAGGCTGCTGTTTGTAGGAGAAAGAAAGTATTCACACATCAGTGTATGCTCTCCCTTTCTTTTTTTTTTTCTTTCTTTTTTTTTTTTTGACTCTGTGTTCATTGACTTCAAAGTACAAGCTTTCCAGCCATCAGCTGGTCTTTGATCTTCCCCTGTGGTTACAGGCCTCCAGAAGGAGGGACATCAAAGCCAGGGATGGCAAATTTTGTTGGCAGATGGGGATGTAATTGTTGCCCTCCTCTGTTCTGCCAGGATGCATTCCAGGAGGAATATTACCGCACAGGAACCTACCCAGCAGTCCCGACAGTACCACCCCGTCGGCCATGGACACTTTTGAACTGGCTTTTCTGGGCCTTATTGCTGCTATATCCTTTGTTCCAGCTGCTCATCAACATGATCAACAGTGGATCATCACTGACACTGGCTAGTTTTGCATTTGTCATTATAATAGGTGAGTTTTTCTGATTAAAAAAAACTGGCATAGTCTGTTTGGTGCTGGGTTTTGGAACAATGGCCTAATGGTGCACTGAAGTGTAGCTACTGCAAAATGTTTTGAATTTGTCATCTTTCCTTCAGCATTTTTCTCTTAATTCAGTTTCTCCCCTCAGCAGACTGGTTGGTTGGGTGCCATTTCAAAGTTCTTCATGCCTTGTGTGCCCTCCACAGGGAGCCTCACACCATTATTCAGGGTTTCTGGAGTTTAACCTCAGGGCCCACTGCTTTGCTGCTTGACATTGTAGCATTGTGATGGTTTTGGATTTAGCCCTTTGTAATTTAGCTGAGTGACACCACACCCCTCACCCTGCACCTAATACAATCTTGCTATTAGTGACCTAGGTCACATCAGTTCTTTATCAAGAAGCGAAAGAAAGAACCTGTAAAGGAAAAAAGCTATGATGCTACCAAGAATAGACAGCAAAACCAACCTTCTTTTCATTTCTTTCCCCTTTTCTTGTTCCCCACTTACCTTTCTTCTTCTTCTAGCCACAAGGAAAGGTTAATAGGCAGGCTGCTCTGAGTCATCTCTTGACTGCAGTGATAATCCAAAGGATTTATTCTCAGGTTATCTGTAGTACTGGATCTACCAGAAGGCTCCAGCAGCCTGCAGGCACAGCCAGTTGTGTAGCAAAGCAGGGAGGACTGTGTTTGCTGTCCTTACAGTGGGACTGATAATTGGTACCTGGTGGCTTAACAATGTAAAAGGAAGGTTTTTCTGCAGACTGGAGGGATTTATCAGATGACAAAATCAGCTCTTCCCATTGCTCCTAGCAGTCTTTTCTCGCTGTTTATAACTGAAGCACACAGGTAGTGGTTTGGTTTTTTCCTCTGGCACTTTGACAGCTTACCTGATACTCCAGAATCAGGAGCTTTACTGCAGTCCCCAATAGCCCATTGTAATAGATTGCTGTTTTTAAGGGTGGGTTTCAGTACCTGATACAGGTGCAGATAAGCACAAAATAAACCTTTTGTGATAGAGCAGAGTAACTGGGAGGTCCTTTCACTGGGTACCCTCTGCACTGTTTCTAGATTGTCATTTGTCCTTTGGATAGTTTCTACTTATTGTGCTCTCCAGTAAAACACTGACTGGCTTTTAAGTAACTGGCTGTTCAGGTGGAAAGAGCTCTAAGAAAAATGCTCCACTTGAGCTGGAGTGAAAGGACTGTAATCCCTCAGACCTAGCTCTGAGGTCTAAGAATGAATAACCCATGTGTGTACAGCTCTGCTCAAACACTGTTCAGCTCAAACACTTTCAGCCCTAAATAAATGGCATTTCTTTATACTGTGAATGTTGTCCCCTTGTGCTTTGCTGTGCAGCAGTTTGGCTGTTTATACTCCCAACAGTCATCACACTGTGTTCATACCTTACTGCTGCTCTGGGCCTGGGAGCCCTTTGTGAAACTGCTTGAATCAATACAAGGCAGTCACTGCTCCAGAGGATAAATGCTCAAGTAGTTTGAGGAGCAAAAGTGCTTTGAAAACCAGCTTTAGTTTTGCAGAACACATGGCAAGAACTTTAGGTACTTAGCTCACAACAACTGTTTAAAAATTGGTGCTGATATTGTGATGCTGAAGCATAGGCACGTCTGTCAAATGTCAGTAGCTGCACGTGACAGCAGCTTCTTCTTTTTTTCTCCTCCTCCTGCTTCCCTGGTCTCATTTGGCTTCAAAGAACCAAATGTTGGCTGGCCTTTCATGTTTTGATAACGTGTGTTGAGGAGGACACCCACCCTTCATCCTCTAGAAGTAATTTATTGCAAAGCTGTCAACAGCAGTTAAAAGGGGAGTGTATGCAGAAGATGAGAGGTTTCTAAGGGAGCAGCAGCTATTCCATGTTTCATGCTAAAAGCACGGTGGCATCTGGGCTGGTGGCACAGAGCCAGCAGCTCCAGAGCAGCTCTAGGCGAGAGAAGCGTTCCCTCTGAACGAGTGCCAGTAGGGATGAGCTAGCTGGGATTGCTGGGAGCTGCTCTGTGTGTGCTGTGCTCTGTGGGTGGGATCAGCCCTGGGGACATCCCAGTGTCCTGGAGCAGAGTATGGAGCACAGGGCTGGAGCACGGTGTGGCCTGGGCCTGCTGCAGGCTGAGCTGAATGGAAGGTGAGGAGGAGGAGGGGACAGGCCAGCAGGGCTGTAGTAAGTTTTACAGCAGGGTACAAACCATGTGCAGGATCATGCCTGTGTCCATTCTGCCTTTTGGTGGAGCTGCCAGATAGTCTGGCCTTTCAGCCTGGTGCCTAGAAATTGGGGGATTTGGGGTGGGTTGTTTCTTTATGTGAGTGTGTTGCTTGTTTCTTCTCCTTCATAGTATGTAGGAGAGGCCCTCAATGGAAATGTCTATAATTCATGCAGTCTTTAGTTGTACAAATCTCAGTTTCAATGCATAACCTATATAACTCAAGTGCAAACTATATGTGGGATATTTTTATGCCCCTGCCTGCTGTGCTGCTTATAGCACTTGCTGTGTAGTATAAAGGCAGGGCAACAGATGAGAAAAAAATCCTGAGTAGTAAGAGAAAAGGTGGAAATCCTTTGAGCTAAGGTTTTGCTGAAGGATGAGATACTGCATGTGGAGGTGGTGATTTTCTTGGAGCTAAAATGTGTTCCAAGAAAGATTGCACTCCTGGCTCTCTTGACAGTGTCAGCTGTCAGCCCTCCTTGTGTCAGTGTCAGCCCTCCTTGAGCCCCCAGCACTCCAGCAGGCAGAGCAGGTCCTCAGCAACCTCCTGCATCTGTTGGATGCTGAGTAGTGGTGGGCACAAAGATGCAGGAGCTCAGTTAGCTCAGTTTGCTGCGGAGTAGTTCAAGGATGCTTCAGCCAGTAGCTTCTCTCATGCACTTCTCAGGGTGGTCTTAAACCCTCACAGCTATGAAGTTAGGCACTGCTGATTAGTTACTGCTTGATCTCCCTTTCTTTCTCCCCTTTCTTGAAGTAAAAAGCCTTATTACAGTTGTATGTAAAACAAAAAGTGAATAAATCCTTAAATGTGAAGGCATCTCTCAGGTCTGCACTGAGGCTCAGGAGAGCTGTGCTGAGGAGGCGCTGCAGGGACAGAGCAGTGAGGCAGCCCAGCCTTTCCCCTCTTTGCTTCCAAGGCTTGGCACACATGAGCAGTCCTCTTCTCCTTGCACCCCACCTTCCCCAGCGTGCTGAGGGCTACAGGTGAGATGGGCATAGAAGGCAGTGGCAGCTTCTGCCAGGGAGCAAAGGACAAAAAAGGACATCTGAACTGCTGAACTAGTTGTTTTTTGTGTCCAGGCATTCTTGGAACTGGATGAAATCCCCAGCATGGTGTGTGGCTGCTGTCACAGCTGCTCTTATTTATGCTCTGTGTCCATCTCCAGATGCTGTTTCTATCCCTTGTGGTTAAAAATCGTAATGATTTCATGCTTACTCTTACATTATGATCCCAGACTGCAGGCTACACGTCGGATCTTTCTCTTGTGTTCCCCAGCTCATGGCCCGTTAAATGTCAGAGATAGTTTTCTTTCTTTCTTTCTTTCTTTCTTGTCTGTCCGTCTGTGAGAGTGAAGCCCTTAGCTTGTCTCAGTGGTGTGTGTCTGTTCACAGAGTGACAGCGGAGTGCAAGTGGCAGTGAGTGCCCTCAGAGCCAGCTCCCTTTCTGGACTGTTCCCTGCACAGCTCTGCCCCCCCTGTGAGAGGCCCTGCTTTCCTGGCATCCCCAGGACCTGAGGGCAGCCCCATGGGCAGACCAGCTTCCCAGTGTCCAGCCACGCTGTCACATCACGTGTCACTCATCCCTGGCATCCAGGAAAAGTTGCCAATTTGCTGTCAGACTGCACAGCAGGAGTCTGTAGTGGTGGCTCTTTGTGCTGGTGTGCCAGCAGCAGCTGGTGAAGCACAGGGCAGCACTGTGTGCCAGCCCCCTCCCCTTCCAGGGCTGGAGAGCAGCAGATGCCAGGACACGGCCTTGGATCAGCCCTGTGGTTCACAAGGGATGCCTCGTAGTGGGATGAAACCTCTGGATCCTCTTGGTGATCTCAGGCACTGACTTAACCATAAAGAGTCCTTTGGCTGGTGAGAGTTTGTCCAGAGTCATCTCAGAGAAGTAAATGTTGATGGGAATGAGACATCTAGAGCACCTCACCTTACTGTCACCATCAGTCAGAAAGACAGTGGGATTTGGAGGCCTTAGGGGAGGGCTGTGGCTTTCTAGGTTTGTTTGGTTTGGATTCCTTTTTTTTGGAAAGCGTTCTGAGCAGAGGGAAGATGTTTGTGACTTCACTGATAGCTTTAGGCCTGAAAGAAGCATGGCAGTTCTGAACATGTACAGTAGCTGAACCCTTGAGGAATAACAGATTTTGGGCAATGAGGCCCTTTACAGAGAAACCAAAAGTGTGAAGGAAGGAGTTTAGGTTAAGCTGCATTCAACTTAATCACTTTAAGTGCTACAGATAAATAAATAAAATAATCCTTGCACATGGTAAATTATTACCACTGAATAATCTATAAAAGTCTTTTAAATTAACCTGTTTTCTTATAATGGACTTTTTCATGAGCTACCATTAACAAATACCACAGCTTACATTATTTTTAATTTATGAAGATCTGAAGTTCCCTTGCACTTGTTTGTGCTCTTTCAGACAAGGGGCTATTGAAAGCCAGCAGAATTCCCTTCCCCTGGCACGCAGGGCTGTGCATGCCTGTGCCTCTCACACCCATCCTGTTCCTTGTAGCCTCTGCCCTGCTGATGGGAGGGGATGTGTCCAGCCTGAGGCTCTTCCTTCATGAGACACCATAGGCAAATAAGGTGATGTGGAGGTGTGGGAGCATCAAATGCCTCTTTCATCCCAGGTCTCTTTCATGCTGCTACACCAGGACAGATGTCCAGGCCGTGCCTCAAGCAGCTTTAACTGTGTTTGTTTTGCAGCTTCTGTCGGTGTCAGATGGATGATTGGGGTTACGGAGATTAACAAGGGCTCCACCTATGGCAACAATGACAGCAAGCAGAAACAAAAGTAGCCCCTTCAGAGACTGCTTCAATCCAAAGGGAACAAATGCAACTGTCGAAAACTCTTAAGTGCATATCACGGTCCTTCAAGTGAGATCTGAGGATGAGTAATTGCCGTGCATATCTGAATTTGTGCTCCTGTTGTTTTTCTGTGGGGTTTGGGCTGGATGACACGCTGGAAGGATGCACTCCTTCCTATACTCTCAACAACAGGTTTGCACATGTGTGGTTGGTTTGTTTTCCTATGAAGTGTCTTAAGTTTTGAAGGAAAAAAAATTCCAGTGTGCTTGTATGAAGAGACTCTACCTGGAAACTAACTAGAGGTGCAAGCTTTAATGTCAGAAGATTGTTACAAGATGATTAAACTTGATAGTTGTGTAGCTCACACAGTTTAACAACCATAATCTGTTAGTGTTTAAGCACAGCACAGCAGGATGCTGTGCTTGGTTATAGCAGTGTTGGACTGAAGCAGCTCTGCAGAGCTGGCAGAGCTGCAGAGTTTTGTACATGCAGAACTGTTCCCACAGCGTGCACTACATGGGCCCTTCAGAGCTTCAGCCAGACCCTGCCTGGACAGCCACACATCAGAGCCTGGCAGCAGCAGAACCTGGATCACAATTTGGCTTTGTGGCCTGAGCAGAGCTGAGTTACCACTGCCCTCTCTTTCCCCAGGCCATACATCCCAAGGATAGCTGAAACCTCTAATTCTTCAGAGTAAATGTCATTTTTAGTTTGGAAAACTTGAAGTAGTAAAAATCCTTTTGGCTTTAAATGCTACTTAAAATTCTAGGCCATCCTAACAGTTTTGGAAACAAAATAACTGGGCATGGTGTAGTGAAATAATGCAAAGTGTGCATTACAGAATATGCCCCATGCCCATACTGTTGTGATCCTAATTAACCTGCTTGTCTGTCTTTTCTGATAAATTAGTTTACTTGGTGCCTCATAACAGCCAGCCTGAAGTAATAGTAAATTATTTTCTTCTGGGGAGGAGAGGGAACTAGGAGAGAGACCTAGGACAGTCGGTATGGCTGATTTTTTTTGATGTCTGTCTTGATTTGACACTCTTCTGAATTAAATAAAACTAGAACCAAGCTCTGAGGAAAGGGGGGTTGCTCTGATGTTCGTGGTACTGATCTCAGGACTGCCTCCTGTTTTTAAACTTCTAGAGTTAAGGGTCTGCAAGTTACTAGAAATAACTTGTTTAAAGCAGAAAAAAAAAAAAAAAAAGGAAAGGAGGGGACATTAACTAACAGCAAATATGATTGGAAAAAAATCCCAATTTTTTGAAGTTTACAGATCCCGACACTGAGCAGTGGAGGTTGTGATTGGCACTTTCAAAGACAGTCCATCTTCACTTGGCATAGAGCTAAACCAAACAGTTTTTAGTGAAGAAAGTGAGTAGTCTTACTCTAGCAGCTGGTATAAAAACATGGCTCTTTCCATATAATAAAACTGAGGCCAGAAACAGGCTAATACAACAGTACTAATTATTCCATGAAGTATGTATTTGCTATTCAGTACATCAGATAATCTAGAAACTCACCTTTTTAATATGCAGAACCTAAAAAGCAGGTCAAGTAGTGCTTTTAGCATGGAGCAAGAACTGAAGTTGAGGGATAGTGGAGGCAGTAACATTTACACCATGAAGAAAGGCACAGGCAGTGTGAGAGACTGCTTTGGGAGGCTTTTTGCCTCACACATCTTGTGTACACCTGCATTCCCTATGTTCTGAACCTTTCAGGAGCAGATTGTTCAATGTCATGAACAGAAACATGGGCTCAGATGTTTTTAGAGCCCAAGAGTAGAAAATACTGAAATGTTTACAATGCTGTTTAATAAAGCACGTGCCCTGCTCTCTATTTGCTGTAACACTCTTAACAGTGAAAAACTGAGTATTGCATCCTGTAGTAGCATTAACAAGCCAGACCTGAAGCCACTTGTACACAAGAGCTGGAAAATGGGTGGGAGGGGAGAAAGGAAAGGCCTCTCCAGGGTAGCATGTTACTGTGACCATTACCTGGCAGGCCCAGTGACCTCCAGTGGCCTTTTCTCAGGGCGGTAGGTGAGCAGTTCTGAGCAGCAAATTCATATTCCCAGGGTAACAGAGGCTCTTCTGCCTTCCTGAGAGCCACACATTTACCATGCAGTAAGGAAGACATTTGGCATTCCTTATCAATCTTAGTCCTTTCCCCTCCAAGTGCCCTTCTCCCAGAGGAAAGTACCAAACAAGTAAATCCTTCTGAAAGAGTGATGAGATGATTTCATACCCCTCTCCCTGGGCCCAACCATTAAAACGTGCTGCTCGTGGATCCATCCTCCCAGGCACTTGTGCAAGTCCTGGCACACCACTGAGGCCCTTCCAGCACTCACTGACAGGCAGAGAAAGCTTAATGGTCCTTGCCAAAGTTAAACTTCTCCAGTTCACTGTATTAAAAGAATGACATAGGTTATTAGGAAGCAGTGTTTGCCCCTCATCCCCACAAGCAACTGTATGTTCTACAACTGCCTTAACAAAATTAGTCTTAATGTTTGTTTATACAAAAATAAAAGTATAAAAAGCTAATATGCAGTGAATGAGTTTTCTTTTGGTTGGCAAGAACAAACTGGTAAGAGTTTGTCACTTTTGTGTCACACTAAAAGCTGTCCACTGTGTTCAAGGGCACCTGAAACAAGGCAAGTGAGGACACAACTCAGGTACTTCTGCTGCACTGCAAATGAAGCACACAGCAAGCTGGGGGGACACTTCTACCTCAGGTACTCTCATTCTTTACTGAGGATGACAACATACCTCCTATGACACAGCTGAAAACAGAGCACTGAAAAGAAGGGGATGTCTTTGTTTAAATTTAGTATTATATTTTTTCGGAGCATAAATACCTGCACAGGTGACACACACACAGCAAGGTTCATACTTTCCTAGGTAGGAATGTCAGATTTTGTGGGATCTCCTTGACAACTCACCACACATGTGACTAATCAAGAATTTGTGGCTTAAGATGAGACAAGACAGTAGAATATAAAACTAAATATTAAAAAAATTTAAATTACCTGTTTTGAGTCTGAAGCTGTAACAGAAATATGTAAACTTGCACTAATGTTTACAAGTAACAGTTTTAAGTCACCTATTTGTAATAGCAAGGTAAAAAAAAATCCACTAGATCATGCATTGCAGGCTATTTTTTCCAACTGCTAACCACTTCTAGTCTCTCTTCCTTTTCTGAGGCTGATGACAACTGAGGTGTGGTGGGGAAATGAAAGCCCAGGATCAGAAGTCAGTTTTTAAAAGGTAACAGTAGGTTCTTGGTTTTGCCAAACAGAACACAAGAATCAGCTTGTACAGTTCTCTTCTAGAAGACAAAAATGTCATTCAGGGCACTCCCTGTTCACAGTGCAGACATCCAAGAAGGAAGGTGTCCCTTAGATAAAAGACAGTGTCAGGAATTGCCCATCACCCTCTTTTCTCAGAAGGTGATGAAAGGGGGAACCTTACTTCTCTTACCTCTTGTGTAAGAAACATCTCACAGTACTCATCTTGAAACTTGACAAAAACTGACTATTGCAATACAGGAGCAGCTTATTCCAGTTAGCTCAGCTTAGCAGTCTCATCCCAATGTTGTAAAAAGTTTAAAATGTGGCACAGTCCCACATTTACTTTTGGAAGAAAAACCCTTCACCAGCATGTCCTAAAATAAACCATTTATTGAGAAAAACCTTTTTTTTTTAAATTTCATTAATCAGCCTTGTGCATAACAAATCCGAAGCTTGCCAAAAACAAATAAACAAAAACCCCAGTAAAAGTTCACAGTCAGTGCACTCAAACAGATTAAAAAACAAGGTCCATAACGCCTGATAACACTACAGCATTTTTCTGAACCTAGAGAGTTCAAAAATACTACATATTAACAATACAAGTTCTCAGTCAAATGAGAAACAGGAGAAGGAACAAAAGGGTCTGGTCCATATACAGTAGTAATGGCACTTTCACTGAACATGCAGCTTCTTCCAACTTGCGGACACGTCACGTGAGCAACATGTGCCAGGTAAAATGTACAGGAGCAGCAGAGGAAGTGACACTGTCACTTGTGCAGTCTTCGTTAAGGTCAACTTTCAGACTGTTTCTCAGCACAGCCTTTATGTAAATATTACATACAGTAGTGATTCAAATCTTGTCAGAATAGAAAAGGCCAGAGATTGAGTAACTTCATTCTTCATCTGTGCAAACCTGTGAAGGAAGCAAAAGGCAATTACTTCAGCCATCTCCCTCCTGCAGCAAGATGATCATGGATCCATTTCTTTAGCACCTTCACCTTGAACTTTTTTTTCTCTTCCTTGTTCCACAGTAATGCATTACAAGTGTTTGTATGGGAGTACTGACACTGCCACTGTTACCATGCATCCTTTAGGTGCCTAAAGCAGTGTCCCCCTCTGATGGATGGGATCTGCTACAGCGGCACTGATGAGGGATGTGTGATGATGCCAAACACACTGCTCCTGAATCAGAACACCAAAATGATCAACTTTATGCTGGAAAATGAGACAGAATTCAATAAACTACAGTGCTCCTACTCCTTCAAAAAAGATGTTACTAATACAGCTCAATTTGTAGCTGTGAATATTTGCCTGTTGTTAGGGAAAGCATCACACCATAGTTCATGCAAGAACTGCTGCCTGTTACAGCAGCTGCCAGATAAAACATTCAGTATGATCTTAACTTTAAATATGAACTTAAAATCAGGTCTTTGCACAGAAGATTGGGAGACTTCTTGTGTGTGGTTTCACTTTTTATGGAGGGGCCCTTATCTCTGAAAAGCCATGCATTTGTACTTGCTAAAGTTTTTGCTGCAAAGCCCTTCAGATCCAATTAGCTACCACTGAGTTGGAGCCTGACTTGTCTTTTGAACATAAAGATGATGCATTTCAAAACAGCAGTGAAAGTTTATTGCATGGTGCACACCACGTCCTGTGGTCACATGCTTGCTGAAAACAACACATGTGCTTCTGGAAAGTTGCCAATCCATTTTTCCTGGACAGCATCAATTGGCTAGCAGCCCTTCACCATGGTACCAACCTCTGTGGCATGACTGAGAACAAAGAAGCTGATTAAGAGCTGTTCCCCATTCCCATCTGCAGTTTTTGCAGCCATAGTCATCAGACAAACCTTGACAAAAGGATGATCGAGAAGCTGGCTGGCCGTCCACCTCATCTTTGGGTCACTCTCCAGGCAGTGGCAAAGGAAGTCTTTCCCTTCTGGGCTCACTTTGTCAGGAATAGGAGGTTTATGACCCATCCCCACTTTATACATGATCTGGAAGTTGTGCTCATATTCATGCCAAGGCCTCTGCAACAGGTGACAGCATTGCTAAGTGCAAGCTATAGTGAGTAACGTGCTACCCACTAGAGCATGAGCATGTATTTCTGTGCTGCAGAAAATGAAAATCCATCCCAGTCCTTGCAGACATGAGTGTGACAAACTGCTGAGAATAGGACCAGAATTTGCAGAAAAACTGCTGAGAACAGTTTGCTTTTCATCAGCACATGAAACATCCCTACCTTGCCCGTGACCATCTCTATGACAACACAGCCCAGGCTCCAGATGTCTGCTGCACGTCCGTGCCCTTCTCCTTTCGCTCTGGTGATAACTTCTGGAGCCATGTATGCTTTGGAACAACACATAAGATGCCATCAGTTCATACAGCAGAGGGAACATATACATCAAGTGGCTGACTGGGTAAACCAAATGCTTTTTAAATACCCAATGAATTACTACTCAGGTTTTCTTGCTAAGTTTTGCCGTTTGCTGGTTTCTTGTTCTTTGTTGTGTTTTCAGCATAACTGTCTTTCAGTTTGAAAAGTGATACGGAAAATGCTGTTACAGTACATGCTTTCAGTGACTGTCATTTTCTGAAAATCTATTAAGCAGCTGTTCAGTGAAGAGTACAGTTTCTGTAAGGCTGCAGAGAAAAATACAACCCCAGAAAACACATGCTCCAGCATCTCTATAGTTACAGACAAACATGATTTTAACTCTCACATTATATCATTCACTTATTGTTTTGGCTTCTGGATGCAAAGCACAAAACTAGCTAAGGTAAAATCAAGTTTCCCTGAAACACAAGGTTTTACTCCAGACTTCTGGCAGAGGTGTCTTCCTTTATGGAAACTAAACAAGTACCTGCCTAGCACAAGCTTCCTCACCTGCAGTCCCCAAGGTACTGTTCACTTCTCCAGGCATTGTCTGGGTATTGTTCTTCAGCTTCACTGAGCAGCCAAAGTCTCCTAGTTTAATCAGTCCAGATGAGGTAAGAAAGATGTTGGCTCCTAAGAAACATAAGGAAACACGGACACACTTGTTTAAACCAGAGCTGAATTGAGGGCTTCTCAATATAGCCTTGGAAGTTGCAATGGATAATAGCTGAATTCACATTTAGATCTTTACCTGTGAATTAAGTGTGGAATATGATGGCATTAAAGATGTTTTGGTGGGTTTGTGCTAACATGAAGTGAATGGGAAGTTGACAAGTGTTCCAATTTAAAAAAAAAAAAAAAAAAAAAAAGAGAAGAAATGACTCCTTCAGGAATTCCAGTGCTTCTCCTTGTGAGCACTACATTCAGAAGAAGCTGCTTCCTGGCAGAGGCCATTGCTATGTCCTTCCCACCAGTATCTTTTCAGAGTCAAGACAGATGATAGCACACTTGTCAATAAAAACAGTGTGGCCAGCAGGACTGGGGAAGGGATCATCCCCCTGTGCTCAGCTCTGGTGAGGCCACACCTCAGGTGCTGTGTCCAGCTCTGTGTCCCTCACTACAAGAAGGCCACTGAGGCGCTGGAGCGTGTCCAGAGAAGGGCAACAGAGCAGGTGAAGGGTTTGGAGCACAAGTCCTGTGAGGAGAGGCTGAGGGAGCTGGGGGTGTTTAGCCTGGATTAGAGCAGGCTCAGGAGTGACCTTATCACTCCTACAGCTCCTGAAAGGAGGGTGCAGCCAGCTGGGGCAGCCTCTTCTACCAGGCAGCCAGGGACAGGATGAGAGCAAATGGCCTCAAGCTGCACCAGGGGAGGTTCAGGTTGGACATCAGAAGGAATTTCTTCACTGAAAGAGTGGTCAGGCATTGAAACAGGCTGCCCAGGGAGGAGGTGGAATCACCATCCCTGGAAGTGTTCAAGATAGAACTGGGCACGGCACTCAGTGCCACAGTTTAGTTGTTGACATAGTGGTGGTTTGTCCAAGGTTGGACTCAATTTTGGAGGTGTTTCCGACCTTAATGGCCTTAAGGTCACAGACGACTTGCAAAATAGAGTTTAGAGCATTTTATTACTTATACTACCAAGTGCCTACTCCTGTTGCACTTTACTTCCAGAGCAATTTTTGGAGGAGGACTACCATTAAAATGACTTGCTATACTGGCAGCTTACACTAGAACAAACTTCCCTAGCATAGTTAAAAATCTCCAAGGGGAATCTGCAAGTCAACTGCTCAACAGAACAATACAAAATAAACCAAGTGGTTTTGACAACCTGCGCTTTTCTTTCATTCAACATCCTGCCAGAATACTCTCTTTTTGACAGCAACAGAAAACAGGTAGAGCAGAAGGAGCCCCTTATATCAGGCCACATTCTGGACTCTGCAAGTATCACAATGAAAGCAAGTATCACAAGTATCACCTGGCAGAAACAGAGCTGTGGTCTTTCTTGAGGAAAGATGGATAGTATACAAAGAACAAACTGCTCACCTACTCTAGGAGTAGGCAGACAGTGGGGATTTCACTACACACAGCCTCTTCTCATGTCATGCAAAAGTTTCATTCAAAAGTGGCTCATCTCAATAGAACCTTCCAAAGTTTCTCACTTTTGTTCCACCTTGAGCAGTACAGAAATTCTTGGCTGCTCCTCCTTTGTGTTAGTCTTAGCTAATAGCCTTTTCCCATTCACTTGGTTGGGCATCCCCAAGATATTCATAAAGAATACAAAGAATTCTCAAAAAGCTCAAGTCAAAAAAAGGCAGTGCAGGTCAATGATGCCAAACCCTGCCCATTTCTGAAAGGACTCTGTCTGACTACTCTGACAATAGTTGGTAACTATTTAGTCCCAGAGGTGTTACATAGAACAGCAATTGATAGGTCACTAACAGAAGTAAATCACTAACAGAAGTAAATTCCAACCTTTAGTTACAAGTCCTGAAAGAATTAATGTTCAAGAATGCAACTCATCTCCACATTTTGTGCAATGGTTTTCCACTTCTGGCAGTCAGATGCTTGCACATCCTCCAGAATGCTTTCACTGGATTCTGCAGTTTGCCATCAGTGGGATCTATGTCACCCTGCAATCACAGGTGTGTGTAATGGAGTTGGGTAGACCATCCCTCAGCTCCTTGAATGAAAGATCCAGAAAGACACAAAGCAGTACAAGAAAGCTGCTTAATGAGATACGAAGTATGGGCAATGCATGAGGAGAGCGACAGCTTCTTCCTTTGAACTTTCAACTGCTCTTCCAATGTTTCCAAGCAGTTGCTTGTCAGACAGAAAGTAGGTGCACTTAGCCTAAAGAAAAGAGTTTAGGAAAAACAGTCCTCACTAGCAAACACTTTTCCAAGGATGCGCTGGAAACCTGTGTCTCCATTCCTCAAGAAAGCAACATGGGAATGTCACAGAAGTTTCCAACTACTACTGTGGATGGAGCCTGGCAGTGCTGAATTTAGGCTACTGGAATAGTTTAGTTTAATACAGTTCAAAACCTTCTTCCAAGGTCTTGCAAACAAGACTTTGTACCTTTTAATAAAAACTAATGACAATTTAGCCTAAGTATTGCCATGAAAGCTCCTGTGAGCCCTTTTCCTGAAAGCCCTTGGAACAGTCACATGGAATAAAGCACTGAACCAAAGTTTCAGCAAGAAGCCAGAGACAGCATTTGAAGACTCATGTTGCAGACACTTTCTGTCAGCTTCCACCGCTGTGCTATCACTGGAGCCTGCCTGTAAACTGCTTGTTCAGAAACCAGGGCCAGGCTGTAGGAGGAGTCTTTAAAAGCAGTAAATGAAACCTGCACAGATGCAGCAGGACCCGTGTAAGAAGAGCAGACAAGAGGTCTGTACTTTGGAGACACCCGATGCTTTTTTACCCTTGATAGTTAACCCTACTGGGAATGGAACGGAACTCCTACCCATCCACATGGTTCACAGGCAAAATAAAACAAAGGCCATGAGTGAAATGGCAGAAAGAGACCACTCCCCTCTGTTCCTTCCCTCCCCTTACACATGCACTGTCTGAAGCACCACCACTGGACGCACTTGACAGGAAGCTGCCCAGCTGTGCACAGCCCTCCTGGGCTGGTACACCACAGCTCCTCCTGGGCACGCTGTGAAGAGACTGTGTCAAAAGCCACACTCCTGCTGCAGCAGCCAAAACCTGAAGCATTTAAACTCAAGTTTCATGCCCTGTACTTCTGCCAAATCAGCCCCATAGTAAGAACAGCGAAAACTGCACTAGCCCGATAGTCCAAAGGTTTTGGTGGAAATACTGTGAGTCCATGGAGCAGCACAAAAAGCCCCACTAAAGGCTGTGCTGTAATTCCAGAAAAAGAGGCAGCTCAGACATTCCACAGCCAGTGCTTAAGCAGTGCAGCAGCCAACTTCATTCAAGAAACAAGCAGGCCAAATGCTACCCTTGGATGAGAAAATCAGCTTCCGCATACTCTCCTTCTCAGTCTCTTAGAGAGCATGACACATGCTCACAGTCTCCTGTTGCAGTTTTCCAGCTCTTGGTGAATGACCTTCCTTCCTTTGTGCTCATCAGGAAGACAGGATAGCAGAAGCTTTGAGTTTCACAAGGTTTTGAGCAAACAACAAGGTTACAAGAAGACAATACTACAGCAGCAGTGGGATGAAGACTTTTTTGTATAGAGCATCTCATTCGAGGTTTCTGACTTGGTAAAGTTTCAGATACAATCCTTTTATTTTCTGTATTCATCCAAGAAGTCTTCAAGAACATGCGCTTCTCTCCTGAAGGGACTCCACCAGGCATGGCCTCATTAATGCCTCTCAATTCAGCACTTCTGAGATCACACCTTGAGTGCTGTGTCTTGTTTTTAGGCTCTCCAGGACAAGAGGGACAATGACACACGGGAGCAAACCCAGGACAGTGTTCAGAGGGCTGGTGCACCCAATGGACCAGGAAAGGCTGTGAGAGGGGTTTGCTCTGCTTGAAGAAGGGATGCTCAGGGCAGTGTCTGCAGGGGATTTACTGCTGTTTAACAGGAGGACAGCAAGACTGTAGAAACAGACTTTTCCCTCAAAGGCACACTGTGAAATGGTCATGCAGCAATGGATACAACAGCAACCTCTGCAGAGTTTCCAGGGAGCTCTCAGGAAAAAGCTTTTCACAGTGGGGATAGGTCAGTCATTGGAACAGGGCATCTCCATCCCTGGAGATACACATATATCTCACCTCAACAATGTCCTGAGCAATCTGATCTGACATTGGATCTGATACTAAGGCTGGCCGTGTTCAGGACAGAGGGCTCAGAGATGTCCACAGGTTCCCTCCAGCATTAAACATTCCATCATCCTGCATCACTGACCAGAACAGCTTCCTTACAAAGTGAAACAGTTCTAACCAAGGAAACTGGGCTTAGCCACAGGAATTAAAATTCAATACCCAGAATAGAGATTAAAAAGTCTCCTGCTACAGACCAGCACCACCTGCTTTTCAATGATGCACACTAAGCAAAAGCAGTGCAGCCAAATGCAATAACCAGCTGACACAACCCTCCATCTGCCCTCACCACCACAGGCTGAAAAATGGTTTTGGCAGCTCTGTCTTGTTTTGTGTTTTACCCATACAGAGCTGGATGCCATGACAGCATCTGAAAGACAAAGGTGGCTCAACAGGACACTACTAACCAAAAGTCTATTTTTGAGCACAAGGTACTTGCAGACACCAAGTACAGCTGTCTTGCAGGATACAGATAAACAATCGTTATAAGAATTGCTTATCTGCTGCTAAAAGAAACAGATTGACAGTGATGTTAAACAAACTGGCCATGAGAGATCTAGTGTGGTCTGACAGCAAGATTTTCATAGGGAAGTAGTTTTAACAGTCTGAATGTCACTCTTCCCTATCAGAAAAATAAGAGTACCAGTCTACCCAAGAGATAAAATTAAAATCAGAGTGTTCTTGACTGCTGTTAGCCTGAAAACTTGGGGATGCAATGTCAGCATAAAGGAAGTCAATGAGCAAAAGACTTCCAATGCATCAAGTAACCTTTATAAAAATACCCTCTGTGGTCTGTCTTTATATTCTGCCATGGCTTCAGGAAGGTCTATACACAGAAGTGCCTGCAGTGACCCTCTGTTATTCTCAAGAAACACTCTAACATTTGACATAAGGAACCTGTTGCAACAGAAATGCTCTCAGGTAACACAACATTACAGCTCTGTTAAGCAGCTTTTCTCACTCCATGTGTTTCCCTGAAGAGCAGAAGACCTATTTGGAAATATATCCAGATATCAGCAATGACACTGAGCAGCACAAAAGAAATCCCTTCAGCCAGCTTTGGATTTTGATCACAACGAGCTTCCAGGAGAGCATAATCCAGCTAAGCAGAACCTGGACAAGGAATGATCAAGAAAAGGGCAAGGAGAGAACTGTGAAAAGCACAAAGGGAAATCCACAGTTGGAGAGAAACCTTTGGTGAGGAAGGAGAACCAGAAAAGGTAAGACTGCTGGGGAATGGGAGTGAGGGAAAGTGTTTTCTAGAAAAAAAAAAGCCAAAACTGACTCAAGAGTGGCCTACCTGGGTGGAAGGCCTCTGGATCGTAGATAGTTCTTTTCCCAAATGAGAAGCACGAGGCCAAAGGACCAAGAGCAACTGGGAACCTCCTACACTGCTGCGGTGATTCAAAACCCTGTGAGCAAGAGGGACATAGAAACCCAGCATCGTTGGGTTGCACTGCCTTGGCACAAAATGAGCATTCACAGGGCACACATATCGTGTGCATTGCTTCCCCTACCTTCGCCTAAGTCTCCTGCCACCGGTGAGCCAAATATGCCAGACTAACAAAACCAAGATAACCAGACATGAAGGATGTTGTTGGAAGGCGCAGAAAAAGAAAAATGAACCTGAAATGAGGACTGACACTGGGTATCTTAAACGCCAAGCCCAACCCCCCCCCTTGGTTACTGCAGTTTCAGTCTGCTAATTATGTACGCAAATGCTGACAGCCAGGCACGAGAAGATAAATGTATGGAAAAACCACTAGATAAAGGGATATCCTAAAATCACTTAAGTGCTTTTAACAACAGTTTTGTTACAAAGTTTAATCAGCCATTCATCTGAAATTCCAAAACTCTTTGGGAAAATGGAATCACAAGGAAAAGTTCTGATGCACAACTCTAGCACTGTACACTGCCTGTCAGCTCCAGAAAACACCACTTATTTGCACAGACAAGAAGGAACACAGCATTACATAACTCAGTACATTAGTGCTAAAACTGCAAGGACTAATAACTGAGTTTAGATAAATCCCCAATCATCTTAACAACCTCTAAAAAAACTATATAAATCATGGGCAAAATTTATGAGTTTGAAATGACAATTGTGAATGTTTTTTACGATCTACATGTAAAAGAAAAAGCATGAAACTATCCAATGGCTTGTAAACTGAAAACTTAATAGAAGGCTTTATACAAATAATGGCTGCATAGAAACTGCACACTAAATATGCAAATACATGCCCCAGTCCTTCCCCCTGCTCTCATCTACCACACTTTACAACAACATTACCTTTTTGGTCAACATTACCTTTAATGTCTCGATGAACAATACCATGTTCATGCAGCACATTGATAGCAATGGTGATCTGCTTTGTGTACAGCCTAATGACATGCTCCTGAAGGCCCAGTTTGGATACCTCCTCCAGAGTGCCCTCATCACAGTACTCCATGAAGATGTACATTTCTTCCTGTTTTGGGAAACAAACCAGATTTCATTCGGTATAATTTCTTTATACTTTAAGCACTGAATTAAGATACAGTTTTCCCTACATCCTTAACTATTCATGAAATAAAGTATCATGTAATGTCTTCATGAAAGTATCACTTACCATGAAATATCTAATATTCTATTGCACAGCTATGGAAACTCTCTGCTACATGCCTATCTATATCATTTGTACATAACTGAGACTATCTGGTGATATAAAAATACAGTGCTTTGGCATCAAGCAAATGACAGACACTTTGAAAACCTTGCAGGTGTATTACACAGAAATTTATAGATTCTTTCTTATTTAGAGAAGGGGGTGGAAAAGGGCACAAAATTTATGTTTTGGGCTTTTTTTTTAATCCCTTCTCTCTGTCTCAGTTCCTGCATCATCATGTGTTGACTGCTTGAAATGGGCAAGTTTTTTGTTCTTTGCTGTGGCTTGAACAAGCATGCCAACTCTAACTCACTTTAAGGAAAAAATTAAGTTTCTGCTCCCACTCTGTCTCCAAGCCCATCTGATTTTAAACAGACTGAATTAATATAAAAAGATGGCAAAGATACAAAGACATTTAGAATCTAGTCCAAGAAACCAATGACCCAGTGGCACAGACACCCAAATTTGTGTCTCAAATAGAGAGCTGCAGAAAGCAGCCTATGTCCCCTTCTAAACCAACAATGGGTCAACAAAACAACTTTATCCATATTGAGCAAACCAGTCAAATCCAAGCAGCACTTTCCAGCAAGACATGAGGACTTGAGACTCACAAGTGGGAAGGGCATGTGGAAAGCAGAGAGTAGTAAGAAGTTGGGTATCCCAGCACACAACTCTGGAATCCAACTCCATAGAAAAATACACTTCATTAGTTCTACTGCTCAAGCATGAAAACTTGCTATTTCCTTTTGAAGAGATGCTAGCCAAATTCCAATACTTGTCTGGAATCATGATTTAAATGGCAGCAGAAGATTTTTGCAGGAATCAACATGATACATTACAAGTACAACCTTTGCTGCTAACAGGGACAGGTTTTAGCCTGTCTAGTCTTTATCTACATACAGGAGCTACCATACCATATATGATACAACTTGCTTCTAGACCAGTTCAACAGAGTAGCAGCATAGAATAGTTCCAGCATTACTCACTCTATTCACTTATTTTAAGCCTCCTCTGTTTATGTACCAGTTCCAAAAAGTCTCTCCTAACTATGTTTCAGAGACCTCAATATCCAGAGGAATAAAGACACACTGCTATACACAGAGATAATCAGACAAGACCAACTAGAATGTTCTCATGTAAAAACCTCCAATAATGCAAAACTTCTTAAAATTTTCTCTCTGCCTTGTTAAAAAAGCCCAAATACTTTATGTTTTCTTACCCTGTGGAGCTCCACACCAAAATAACGAACCAGATTAGGGTGTTTGATGCCTTCAAAAATTTTCAGCTCATCAGCTGTTTCTTTGATGGTTTTGTGATCATTAGGTTGAAATCTTATCTGCAAGAAAGATTTGTCATTGTTTTGATGCTAATTCAAATTAATAAGGAACAAAAAAAAGCAAACAACCTATCCTAAACTCAAACACAACAAAAAGCTCTTGTTGTTGTTGTTAAATATCATCACACAAAAAGCTCCAAATTACCCCTCTCCATCCCCAAACTGAAACAAATAAAGCACACTGAGCTAATTCTGGAAAATTACCTACAACTATGATGACACAGAAACTTTTTAAGAGCAAAATTATGTTACTTAAATGTGTGAATACACTCGTGTGCACATATCTATCTCTTCTGTGCTTGCCTTCTAGCTTAAACGTGGTAGACAGACACAATACAAGAGAATCTGAAAGCAATGTCACAGAGAGCTATCATTCAACAAAGGTTTTTTGCCAGGTACTTCATCACCAGAGAGTCTAAGTGATCTCTTTAAGGGGTTTATCCACTGAGAACAAGGCAGCTGCAAGGAAAAGGTGTGGCATGAAATAAATACCATCAAAGATTTTGAAGAAAGAAAGAAGTTTTCATTACTTCTCCTATGCTGTGATGGACTATTCAGTGAGGAAAAACATTATCAGGTGCTCTGAAAAACTGATCTAAAGCTTCTAACTGTGCAAAGATAAGCAAGATGAATAGAAAGTTATGGAAGATGCTATTTTTACCATATTGTTAGAAAACAGAAGCTTCATTAACTGAGTGCAGGACAACTGCTAAAGAAATAAATGCACATAATTGCACTGAAGGCAATACACTGCCCTCAGTTGCTAGGATGTTATGATTGCTACATTCAGTGTAACAATTCCAGGGTACAGTTTGTACTCAAGCAGTGGTATAATTAAATACATGAAGATCACAAAAAGGTGACAAATGATATTCAAGTATTTTACATATTCCCTAATGCATAGTTGCAATACTATGTATTTGTAGTAAAGCTTGCCCACTATAATCTGAAGTCATTTTAATGACACTGTGGATGAGGTAATACAACCACAGTGTCATTGGTGCAGGGGCAGGGGAATGCAGTGTCCTTAACCAGTTAAAAAAAATCAATAAATCTAACTTTCCCCAAGTTATTCTTAAAGAAATCCAGAAAAGCCTTTTATTTGGAAGTTGCAAACAGTTTTCATTCAAGCCTAGTGAAACAAACATCTCTCAAAGATCTATTTATGAGCTTACTTCAGCTTCTGCTAAAGAGCACACATGCTGATCTGTAAACAGCACCTGCACCTAGAAAGCAACTCTGAATTACAGAGTGCAGCTGATAGGGAGGAAAAATGTTATTTCATCAGAAGAAAAAAAACAGCAACAAAATCTCAAGTGTTGGTATTAGTCAGTGACTGAGTATGGTACAAGAAGTTAACCACAAGCCCAGTCGTGCTTTTTCACACCTTGGAGGTCACATATGTATTTTGTGTGTGTGTGTGTAAGAACTAGCTGATAAAATGTAACTGCTGCAACATCCAGTGGTTGCCACAGTAACTGCAGTGAACCCTTAATGTTTGCAGTTGTCTTAAGATGCAGAAATGCACTAAAATGAAACAATAATTTAAAAGAAAAACAACCACAAGGTGTTGTAGGGGAAACAGATCTCTATGCCTACACAGCTTTACCTCTATCCTGAAAACTAGATTTTCTGTACCCACAAGTTAGTCAGCAGTTTTGTGACTCAACCTAGCTCACACTATGGGAGAAGCTGAAAAACATCTGATGTCACACTTCCTATCTATTGCTCTAAGGAATGAAGAAAAAAAGTAATAAAAGATGAGAGGAAACAGTGCAAAGTAAAATATGAGAGGAAACAGTGCAAAGTAAAACGTAATAAAATATAAGAGGAAACAGTGCAAAATATAAATTTGTGTACAGTGTTTACTAATCTTTCAACATTATTTAAAATCTCTTAATGGAAGTTCACATATATTAAGCATCCTATGAGCTCAGTAAAAAAAATGATCCATTTTACATACATTTAAATTAAAAGTTATAAACTGAAAAGCAACTTGAGGAAAAGGTGCTAACAGCAGCTGTGGCTACATGAAGAAACAATTTGTCTTCCCATCCTTTCCCCGTTAGCTAACAGCAGTGTGCAGAAACCCTCGATGCCTCCTATATCACCCACATTTGGTTTAGGACAAAAACAAGGGCAGCAGTGATTCTGGTATTCACAGTACTCACTTCCTTCATAGCCATCAGCTCTCCAGTGTCAACACTGATGCAAGTATAGACCTTCCCATACTGGCCTTCACCTGCAAAGTCAGGGCAAGGAAAATTCAGTATATTGCCTTCAACAAGCAACAGGTACACCAACTGCAATGAGGAAACATCACTGCTTTTCATCTTTCTTTTCATTTACTACTCCAAGTAGCTTTTAACTGTAACAATACCACACTCATAGCCCTGAATTCAAGCTGAATGAAAGTAAAAACATTAATCAGCTAACCTGAAAGAAAACTTCTCAAGAACAAATATTTTCTCCCAAAATCCCAAAGCAGAGAGTAAAATATGATCATACGAGGGAAACAATAAGATTGGTGAATTAAATCTCAGAGTTCCAACTAATTTCCATTTATATTTCTGGTGATTCCAAATGTAGAACTTGAACATTTTATACGTTTAAACACACACAGGTAACACAAGATAGTCTTAACCAAGTCCTTCTCCTTGTTTCCTGTTATTTGACCAATAAAACATCAGTGACCTTCTACACTGAGAAAATCCCACTCACAACAGTATTTTGTATTTTAACATTTTGATTTCAATAAAGCTAACAATACCTATGCAGAGACCTACAATTTTTAAACACAGTCTTTGACTTCCCTCAAAAATATGAAGTTTGGTATTTTAGCTAGATAAATGGAAGTATAAAGAACATACCAATTTTGTTTCCTCTCTGCCACTTGAAAGTCACTTTTCTCAAACCCACGTGCATAACATTATCATAAGACTTCGGTGTGTCACAAACTTGGCCAATGATGTTCTTCCTTCTCATCTCTCTGTATCTCCTTTCTTCAAACAACTGAACAGACTTTTGAACAGCTTCCATCGGGGCTTGCTTGGAAGCAGTGTCTAAAAAGAGTGATGAACAATTTCCTTGATTGAGAAATATTCACCGTTATATTTTGTTATCTTTTGATATCACATGAAATACCCAGAGTTAAAAGAACACTATTTAGTGAGTCTAATTAAGATGTAGGAAAAGAATAAGACATTTTAACAATCACATATGAAACTATCACTTATGAATCACATACGAAACTAAGGTAAAATGAGAACAATTGTACTTTCCTAATCATCTCTTACTTGATTCAAAGAAATCACATTTATGAAACGCAACACACTTGTTTGCATTTGACCTGTAACTAACCTCTGACAGGGGAAATATGCTAGGGTCATAAAAGCACTAAGGAAAGAAGGACAGGTAAGGTTTTGTTCTTCAGACATATGAGAGGTTTCTTGAAAGAGCCATGGCATCTGTTATTTCAAAGATTTATTTTTTATTAGAAACTCCAGCTCTCAAGTCTTATTATGAAACGGCATACTAGTGAGTGAGACCAAAGAGATCTCAGGGCAGTGTTAAGTTCCTACCCTCCTAGTAAAGCACAAAAATGATACATCTGTCACTGCTGACACCAGTAGTCTAACCTGTTCCTGGCAGTCTCCAGAGGATGGAGATGATACTCCCAAACAATATATACTACTCCCCCCTACCCACAGTTAATACTAGTTCTGCTATACCAAATATGCCTTGCTGTAGTTTTCAATCAAAATATTTGTCTTATTCACAGTGGACAGTAAAACCAGTTCCCATTACAGTAGTCTTCTAGAAAATTTCAAGTTTTCCTTCATTCTTCTTTTTCAGTTTAAACAAACTGAAATTCATTCAGTATTTATGTTCTGACTTCTAGATTTTAGAGTAAGAACTAGTAATTCTTCCTGTGTTCTGTGTAAGACACATAAGGAGACCAGTTTCCAACGTGACAGAAACGTTTTCCTCATGTTTCCTGGGGTTCTACCCTCACATTTATGTGTGCCACAACATATGCAAACAAGCTTCATGTATCAACCCATACAGTACAGGAGTGTCTGAAGTGATCAACTTACTTTCAGTTTCATGAAAATCAGTAATAAGACAGAGAGAAAGGAGACCCCCACAATAGCCTTAAATTTAGGAGACAGTGTGGGATCACACACTATTAGACATCCAAAATAGGAAAATCCCACACTGGGAAGAGATATTGGGAAGTGAGAAAGTGTTTCCTACTGTCATAACTGGGCACTGAATAGGGACTGCAAACTTCTGCAATTTCTATATAGTAATAAATGAACACAGTTTTGTAGAACACTGGTACTACCTTTCAGAAACTGAAAGAATTAACTTTTATAAAGTTTAATTACTCCTACCTTGTGACTCTGTTAGCAATATCCCATACCTGCAATCAGGGGTTTTTTTTCCTCCTTCCTATGTATAAAGCTGTTAAAACCTCTTCACAATCCACAATAAAATCCAACCTTTCAGTAGAGCACTGGTCTAACAGACATTGCATTACAGGGATTCCTAAACACCTACCTTTGGTCTGGTTGATCAACGTTCTGAGCTCCCAACTCCGCCGGGATGAACCACTAGAATCTCCTTTTGGATACAATGGCTCTAGAGAAATAACAGTGTGAGCACAAAAGTAGCTTTACCTCATATTAAAGATAACGCCGTTATTTTCAGCAGAAGTTGAAAATTAGTCCTACATATAGGACTAATAACCCTACATGTATAGCAATGTACGCTCTTGAAATCAAAACTGACTTCTCTTCAGCAAACAAATTATAAAACAGAATTTCATTTGTATAGAAACAGAGATCTCCTTCCACAACTTAGGGAAGCACTTCAAGCCAGGGCACTCAGAATCAAATATACAACATATCTGTAGGAAAACAATTTTCTAAGATTCCTTAGAATAAGATTTGTATTCATTCCAACCTAAGCCACCTTCCTTTTCATATATATACCCCAAAAAAATGGAATAAGCATGAGGCAGACAGTATTTTCAACATTTGCTTAAAAACTAACAAAGATGAAAAAAAACCTTCCACATCTTTTAATATAAGTTTTTAAGGCATTTCTCTGTATGAAATCCAGTGTGGATGACCACAATATCAACTCTATTTTGCTTCAGATTTTGTACTTCCTTTCAATTTGCACAATCAATCTTTCAATGACCTGTTGCAATAAATACCACATATTCAGGGGGGGCTGGGGAAACCTGACAGAGAAGCCCTGATCAGGACATCAAGTCACACATCCTGGCCCTTCTTCCAGGATTCAAACAACAGCAAGTATTTGTAATACTGCAGGGATAAAGAACTGGACAGAAAACACTTCACTGTCCTGATGGATCCAGTTCAAACCTCATTAACAGTGTTTTGAAATTTACTATCAAATGGGGTATATAACTCAGAAATCATATTACTAATTTCATTTTGAACATTGGAACTCTGCAAAGCACCAGGAAATCCCTTCAGATACAATTCAGAAACAATATGAAGGGCAAGAGAATAAGGGATATATCAAGAACAAAAGGATTTTCTCTGACTATATAAGCCCACAAGTTAAAAATCTAAGATTTCTGAATGTGATGAGGTGAAAAAAATGTTTGGAAAGGATAAGAGCTAGAACAGAGAGAAATATGTTAATGACATAAAGCATCTGCACATGTAGGTCACAATTTGTTACTGTGACAATCACCTTCTCGCTCTTCAGTGGGACTGGAGTGACGACTGAGGGATCTGAACTGCAACTCAGCTGCTATTGAAGCAAGTCGATCATTTTCAGGGACACTGGAACCCCTGTTAAAAAGAACCAGCATACTAATTAACATGTCATTAGTGTTTATTTAATGCAATGCTAATTTAACTGCAGTTTTTAAGAGATGGAACTTCTGAAGCCTAGGATATGAACCATGAAAGCAACATGAAAGAAAAACTGATGCCAAAAGGTAAACAGAAAACCCTCTCTATGCTTTTTCCCTCAAATGAAGACTTTTTAGATTATTTTAGTTATGCTGCTCTATGAAAAAGCCCTAAGCTTCCAAAGCATAAACTTCAAACTGTTTCTTGCCTGTAGCAATAGAATCCATTTTCATGACTTGTAACCTACAACTAAGAACAGCTGCTGCAGGATGCAGCTTGTGCCAGGGCTGGATACACAATCAGAAGTGATTCAGCTGGGTGATAATGTGAGCCACATCAACAGATGAAATGCAGTAACTGATTCAAATGTGCCTCGTGCACTGCAAGTACAGTCATAGTCCACAGTCATTAAGTCAGAAGCAATGGAAAGAAACATAAGGTGGCTGACAGGAAGGACACTGTTAAATGACAGTGGCAGCCTGAGCGCTTAGAAGCCCCAGTTCTTCCAAACAGCACAGAGTGGAATCAGATGCCTCAGAATAAAAACCAGATGAACAAGAAGGCTGAACAGAAAGGAAAACAATATTAAGAGAAACAAGACTTTAATTCTTAGGTCTTCAGCCACCTTCCTCCAGCCCCAGACAAAAATTAGTTCACTCATTTTAGAGCCGTAAATCCTTTGCAGAAGTCTCTCAACCCTTTTGGAAAAGGTTCCCCCTCAATTTTTAAAGTTTGATGGGGAAGAATTGTGACTGATGTCTCCCTAAACATACTATGTTAGAGGTATGAGCTAAATGTTACTGAAAAGTGGACAACATTGTTAAATCTTTCACTGAAAGCTAACAACTACAAAAAGATGAAAGATACTTTAAATGACAAGGTCCACACACATCTATGAGAGGATTACCAGTCCTGTAGTTGTTTCCAAATTGTATCTGAGTATTATCTAAAAATAGTTTTAAAAAAAACCAAAAATAACAGAAAAACACCGCTACAACCTTGAGAACAGAAGTCAAAACCACAGACAAACTATTCCCATGCAAATGTTCTCCATACAATGTTTGTTTGCTTTGCACTTCCTTCTTCTGCCCAACCAGATATTATAAGTTTGAGCAGGAACTGAAACTAAACTAGTGAAAATCCTCATTATTCTTCAGGAAGTTGAGGTTTTAATAAGCAAGAAGGCTAAGATGGTTCTCAGCATATACACACCAATGATTCCTGATGCATGAAATGCTTAAAAACAAGCAAAGCTACATCACCTCTAAAATGAAGCAGCAGCTGAACAGGCCTAAGCACCACAGCTTTGAATGCAGGTGCCTAAGCCCCATTTCAGGCCCATCTTAGGCACCCACACCCTTTATTGATCCAGAAAGTCTGTATGCATATTATTAGGCAAAAATTATAGTAAAAGAGAAGAATGCTAGATAATTTTTGACTCCAGCCCTGGATAAATAACAAACTGATGAATAATAACCACAGTTAGCTCTAAAACTGACAATCTAAAAAGATTATAAACATAAACCTACCATAAATGCATAAATACCAGAAAGCTCAATGTAAAAAACCAGGTATTAGTGATTTGGATTTTAATTTATAGTTATGCTATAATATTGGTTTTTGTTTAAAAAAAAACTTCACTAGAACTATGGTGGCATTTGTGCACTATGCACTGCCTAGTACAATTGATTTACCAAGTTCCAACATTCAACTTTTCATAGATATTTAATGCATATAATCATGTCTTAAATGTCTAAAGAGTTTCTGGAAAGTGTCCAAAACTTCCGCCTTTGTGCTATTTCAGCATTGGACTCCACACTTTGCCAAACCACAAAACATTTCATTGATCCAAAAGATTCCATTTCTCCTTTGGAGCACAAATAAACAAAATTCATAATTAAGACCACAATGCATCAAAGTTTGCAACTTTCTTTTCACTATACTAAAACAAAACAAAAAAACTGTGGAAATATATAACATTATAGTATTTTGCTTTCCTCAATAAACAGAACCCCAAAAAAAAACCTAGCAGCCTTCAGAACTCTGTCTCTGCTTTCATAAATTTTTTCTTCAAATGACTCCTAGCTCATATAGAGTATTAAACACTACTTTAAAATCTAGACAGTGCATTAAAAAAACAAGATTATGGGATATTTTATGAACAACCATCAGAAAAATGGTTTCAGAAAAAAAGCTGAGAACTCTAAGAAAAATACAAGTCTTTGAAAAACACTAATTATCCATCGCACTGTCAGCTTATAAAGCTGCCAGAACCTCTTAGTGAATATTTCCTAGCTTGTTACTTACTTGAAAGGGCTATTCCAATGCTGCAGACTACTGCCTACTCTGTCTTTCTCATGAGGGAGCTTAAAACAGAAGCATAAAGGATAAATAATGTCTATGTCTGAATGACAAAAATTTCAAGATGTATTTTCAACCAAAAAAAAGGCCTAGATTCATAAGCTATAAATCTGGAGGCTACTGTAAAAAGCGCAAGGCACATCTTGCAATAAAAATAAAAATCTTGCAGAAAAGATTGTATATAAAAAGTGGCAATTTACTTCCCTCTTAACAGCTTAATGCATGCTCATGCCATGCATCTGATAACAAATCAAGCTATGATGGTCTGCTGGCTCACAACCAGAAATTATTTATTACAAAACAATTCATAATCAAGTTATATCCAAGTTTGCTTTGGTCGCCATCAATCTATTGCTCCTTCACCACCTCTTTTTTTCTCTACCAGGTTTGTGATGTAGTTAGATGTGTGTATCCATTCATATGAATTTCTATCCCAAAGAACTTTCAGTAATCTGCAGTAGAATTAAGAATCTAAAAACCTATTTTTAAACCCTAAGACAACATCACTGTGTTAAGAGTGGGCTTTTCACAGTCAAGGGTGCAGGGGAAAAAAAAGGTAAATAAAGTTGGGAGATATGTCAGTGGTCCAACTTGTAATATGAGAAGAAATACCAACAGTCTGAAATTATAACAGCCAAATGAAACATCAAAACACAAGAAAGAAACTAATGTAGGTCTGTCAAAAAAATGCCACTTGTGATGATACAGAAGTTATTTCTGTTACATATTGTTGAAGTGAAGGGAGAAGACCCATCTTCGTTGATCAGAATCTGACTCCGGTTTATTGATCAAATTAGACACCTTTTATACCAGTGTTAATTCACTTCATGCATATTGCAAAATCTGAGCTCCCGATAGGCTGTAGATAAAACTTCAGCTCCTCCTTTTGTTTACAATACCTGAAGTTAGTTTACTGAAACCAAGATCAGTGTTCTCACCATGATATGAAAAGTTCTCAAAACCTTCATATCTGTTCCCAGACCGGCCATCTGTTCCCAGTAGCAGCCAAGGACAGAACGGTCTGAGAATCTTGTTGTTTATATAAAAGGTGGCTGAGAACCTAATTATTTACAGGATCAAGCCTGGGAAAGGCTGCTTTACAGCAGGCTTCTATCTTTCCCTCAGCTGAGTACCTTCATGGCCTCTTTCTTTAAGCCATGCTTAAACCAGGCTCTCCACAACATATCCTGATACAAGAATAGTTTCTTTCATATTAAGTTTATTCTGCACCATCCTAAGAAGCCAAAGGAGTAGCAGGAAATTATTTTGTAAAATCCTCATGGTGTTTAATTTTGCATTTGCCACTATACAGTATTTCAAAATACTTGTATTCAAAATATGACAGACAATAACAACACCAAAACTGTTAGCTAACATGAAAAAAAATGAAAATCCTTGTCCTTAGTTGTATCTTGCAGTTATCTTAGTGGAAGTGATTCTATGATTCTAAGTGTTAGTTATCGGTACTAATTATTTACTAAAGTTACACCAATGAGCTGACTGGCATGTGTTCATTGCATGTACATTTTACTGAGCAAATCTGTAATCTACCTCAGAACTGCATGCTTTAACTACCACTTGTTCAGGCTTTTTGAATCTGCAAGTGGTCTCATCATCGATTTCCGACACGTGACTTTGCCCAAGTGGAACATGAATGAAGGAGCCAGTGGAAGATGGAGGGAAGGTGCAAAGGATCTATTAGGATGCATGTGGGAGCAGTTATGTGGGTGATGCAGGGAGGATGAGTGGGCTACAGCATGGAGTGCAGCTACCTGGTCTCATTGGCACTGCTGAGAGCTTTGGGCTGGGGTGAGTCGCTGCCCACGGGAGCGGGGCGACTCACAGCAACACTGCCATGGCTCCGCGCATCGCAAGGGACGCTCCGCGTGCTGTGGCAAGAAGAAAAACTTCAGGAAATGGTTAAAAAATGAATGTATGGAGCTGAAAGTTTGTTTTAGAAACAAAATATTGAAGTGCATATAATGATGCCTGATTTCAGAAGTTTTTCAATTGCATAAAGATTTTTATGTGGAATAGCTCTGGGTCTCGGAAGATTGTGGCTGCCAATATATACAATAATAATAATCCTCAAAATAAAAATCTTCTAATCTTTAGAATACTACTAGTTTCTGCCAAAGCTAAGTGGCTTCTGAAAAAAAAGTCAATTGTAGAGTTTGTCACTGTCATCATATTCTTGGAAAATAGGGCCCTCTGTGTAAAATTAAGCATGGAGATGTTTATTTCGACATTTTTTAAAACTGTTTTTGCAATAATTCTCATGTCAACTCTTTCAAAGGCATAAGAAAAGATCCACTGTTTTAAGCTTATTCACAGTAGGTTGGTAATGATGCAGAAATGCCACCATATCTCAGAATGCTACATTTTTATGTCCCATGTATGTAAATTCCAGAAAGCACTGCCACAGGAACTTCAGCGGGCATTCAAAGTGTGGAAGGAAATAAAAGTATTGTTAATGAGCAGTTCTCACTGAATTAAAGCTTTTTACGTTGAAACACTGGTTTCAGGAAAGATAAAGGGGATAAGAATGACTTCAAAGTGAGAACCCATGCACCAACAGAAAGGGGGCTGGCCAAGCAGCAAGAAAAGGAAACTTGTATTGTCCTTAAAAGCACATCAATAAATTCTGGATCACATATATGCTGATTTTTTCTATCAAAAAAAAAAGATAGAAAAAATCTTTGCCCCAAAGGGAAAGTAAAGGTATTCCACTTACTGACATTCAGCATAGCCAAGAGAGGATAAAGATAAAACAGTTTAAAATGCTGTACTAATGCTCAATACCTGAAGCCTTCAGGCGTGGGGATGATGAGGTGAGGATTTGGTGGATCACTATGGCACCGAGGCACTTTTACAGGACGGGGACTGTTTCGATGAACAGCTGCAAACACGAAAACAGATCACATTTACTCAGATGTCAGAAAAACTCTCTTAAGGGCCATTTCAAGACACAAAATTAAAACAAATTCCTATTTACAGAGTTAGGTGTGAACTGGCACATATTTTCTTATCCTTTGATAAAAATACATATTATTCCAACTTTGAATAAATCAATCATAGGTATTAATACTTTTCATATTTTTGTATTACTTAACTCATCCATAAAACAATGAAAATTCTACAGATAGCCAAAAACTAGCAATTAGAAAATGTGTACATACTTCATAAAAACTTCATTGCTTCTGCTTCACAAATTAATCTTATTGCAAAATAAATATTAACCAAATAATAATTAGCAAAGAGCAATATTATGTTCCTTTCCATAAGAATTCAGCTTCCTCAGACAATAACAGAAAGCAAATTAGGCTGTGGAAAAACCCCACATATGACAGTTGTATCCAAACTAATGCCCCTTTGACAGTGTGCCTCAAGGAAGTGGTACAAATGGACAGTACAAAAGCCAAACGGGTAGTCACTATTTTTATGCCTAACTAATTCAGTGCCTCCAAAAGGAGTCTTCACCATCTGCCCCAACTCCTCCTTAAATAATAAGAAAAATACTCTGTCAGTCACATCTCAAGACAGCTGGTTGCCCACCAAACCATGAGTCAGTACTTTCTGCCAGGCCAGGTTCCTCTCAGGGAGCTACATTTCTGCCTTGTTTGCACTACTAGGGCAAGCAAAAGATGGCAGGGCTGGATGTTGGTTGTCCTGCTGTAAGTGGCAAACATACTAGCAGGAGACCCAGAAGGCAGCTCCTGCCCCACCCAGGTAGACATCAGCTGTTTCACAAAGCAAAAAGACAGGATAAAACACCAGGAAATACACAGCTATGTGTCTAGAGGCAGCAGCATGAAGACAACTGGATTCTCAGCTTTGGGAAAGGGAGTAAAGACCACAGAGAGTTTAAGTCCTTCAAAGTGGTAAGCAAATGTAACTAGGAAGTCGTCTTTTTCTCCTAATCAGGAGATAGGAGTGGGTATCTGCAGTATCTGCAGCCAGGATACAGTCTATGCTAAATTTCACATGTATTAAAGTTTCAGACTGCTGTTGAAGTCTGCACCATTTATCTGTGTCACCTCCTCCCCTCTGAGACAAAAGCTGTCAAGCAATTTAGTTTGTGTGATCTGCAGTAACGTTTATGAGAGTTTCAATAATTTGGGATCATCATGCTGGTGGATCTACCTAAAACAGGCCTCCCTCTCAACAGCACTACTGAAAGTGAATGTACAGGCTTTAAATCACTGGACAGAATTTAGCTAGATTTGATTGTAGACTATGCTTCTTTGACTGACTTTCACTGCAAAAGGTTTGTCAGCTGTAAGATTTTCTCATCAAAATGTTACCAAAACAAGCTTTCCTGAAAAACTGGAAAACCTCCTCTGCTGGGGGCAGATTACCCTCCCCTCATGTCTTCTATCATCAAACCCACCCAAGACATGGGCACCAGGAGAAAGATATAAAAGATGACAAAGTATTTTGAAAAGTAAACGAGTCAACAGAGTTAAGAAGAGAAAGACAGAAATAGTGCTGAGAACGAGATGGGTAAAAGGCACACACAGCAGGCAAAACATTATTTTCTCAAGATGCATCATCAAATATGTTGATTTCACTCTAATGATATCAACACATATCTATAAAAATGTATTTTACATTATGCCATATTTTATAGCAGAGAACTGTTTTGCACAGCTCCCATGTACAATGTATATCATGTGTACTTGACAATATAAAATCCATTAGAAGCAAAAACATCTGCAGTGCCAAAGTGTAAATAACTGCAGCATCACAATCAAAGTTTGGGAGAGGGAGCTGTAACTGCCTTCTTAAAGTTAAAATCACTTCTTTACCCAAGCTTTAAACAACACAGCCCCTTCCTATAAGATCTGCAGGACTTCACAGGAAGGATAAAATGAGAGGAAAGAATCTGTAAAGCTTTGAAATTTCTTGGGTTAAACTACCACATATTTACACTTTATCAGGGAATAATGGTTTCACATCAACAATCACAAATAGATTGAAAATACTTTTATTGGCATTTCTCGCATTTTAAAAGCACTTTACAATCAAAATTCTGTAACAGCAGCAGCAAAGCTCCAGAACAAATGCCAGTAACTTCTGCCTTACCAAGGTACAAACCTGTAACAGGACTGTGAGGTTTTCCAATAACATGGCCAATGCACTCATTCATCAGAGCTTGTAAACTCTAGGAAAGACAAACATAAAAAGTTGTGATGTTTTGTTACAAGAAGGTTGATGGTCATATGACAAAGCTCACAGTAACAAAATTACATTGTTCAAGTGTGTATGCAATCTGTCAGATAAGCACCACTATATTCTACTTATTATATTAAACTTCTGGATCCACATTAGTATTTTGACTTAAATGATTTTTTTAAAGCTAGAAGTCTTGGCTTTCTCTTGTCTTTTGTCCTTGTCAAAATTACATAACCAGTAGCATACCATAAAGAATATTTCAAAATATAAAGGTATTGGAACTTAACATTCATTGTTAATATAATTAAAATCACATTTCCTGAAAAAAAACATCTTTTCTGCTGTAACAATCTTTTCTGCTCTCCCCCTCCACATCCCAAGAAGAAACCTAAAAAAACTGAGTGAGAATATGATGGCCTGAATGTCAAGATGAAGTTCTGTTAAAACAAAAAATATTAAGCCCTGCATATTAAAAGAGATGCACTTTCCTTATCTACCCATGAAGCTACCAAAACTTTCATGAAAGGGATTTTAAAAGTTAAAATCACTGAACTGGGCCTCAGACAATCTGAGACAAATTATTAGGTGTAGTATTCAATGGATATGTAATGCTGGACAAGTTGTCAAATCTTCCTGTGGTTCAATTTACTGGGCAGAACAGCAGGAATATAATGCATCCTCACAAAGTAGTAAAATTATGTTCTTTGGTAAAGCTGCTGTGAAGGTCACTTCTATTTGCCAGTTCACTCAGTGTAAACAAAATTTTTTCCAGAAATTCAAAAACTTAGTGAAAACCAGGAACTTCAAGGATTAAGAAAAAACATAATTATAAAACTAAAGAAGCATTGAGTTTGAGACTGGCATATCTGACCAACACAGACTGAGCTAGAAATTCATTTTGAAATGTAGAGCTCTAAATACAGACCATCATTCTTCCATGACATGATGTAGTATCTGAGAGATCAAGATTGACATTGCCATTTCTAGCTAAAATACTGTGACCAGTGCTATACAGATTACTCAAAGTGGCTTCAAGTGATGATCTCCAAAACTGAAATCCAGTTTAAGAAAGAAAAAAAAGTTCAAAAATGCAGTTAAGGTTTTGGACTTCCCCCTTTTTTTTCCCCCTTATTTGCTCAAAGTCTGTTTCAGAAACTCTGTCAAAGCAGAAGAATTTAAGGGGCTACTTCCTAAAGTATCAGTGTATTCCAAATACCAGCTTAACTCTGTCATCAAGGCACACAACCCTTCCCAGCAAGGCGAACTAACAGGATTAACACATAATTTACTAGAGAGCTCCTGATAAAAATACCTGTGAAAAAAGTTTAAACCATGTATTTTCTGGATTATGCAAGATTAATGTGGTTGGCATTTCATAACACATCTTGAAATAAGTAAAAATCGAGAGGTGCTAACACTCACATTCTGCTATTTTGTGGCAACTGTGCTTTCACTTCTCTGTAGTATTGTACCAAGATGAGAAATAAATTCTCAGAACAGGAAAAGGAGGAAAGCAGAGTAGGCAAAAAAGCCAGCTCTAGTCTACTGGGTTTTTTTCATAATAAAAACAAAAGAAAGATGTTCTAAAGTCTGTTTCATGTTGGAACTACTTGAAAATTAACAAATCTTTACATGACAGGGATTTTGTATTCATATCCACAGATGAACTTTGGGTGTTAGCCTCAGAAGCTTAAATTTAGAAACTGATTATCACAGCTATAAATCTCTGTAGAAAGCTGCTGTCAACTTTCCAAGACCCAAGATAAGGTGGCCTCCCAAGACAGTAGTAGCAGTACTTGCAACTTGCCAGCAAACTGAAACCATTACTGGCAATAGTCACAAATCTACTCTTTTCAGAATCTAACAAACAGGCGAGATAGCAGCATCAACAGTGATATACAACAGCAATTGTTTCACTACAGCATCTGTGCTCAGATGTTGCTCTATAAAAAGTACCCATGCAAAACATATACTGATAGCTTCACAAGCATTTATAAATAAACAGCAGCAGAAAAACTTATCCATACCAAGAAGTCATCTTCTGGGAGAGCTGAAATAAATGCTGGCTCAATGGCTTGAAGAAAATCAAAACCTTGAGTTGCCCATCTATGTAAAAGAAAAAGACAGAAAATGAAATGGTCTTTGGCCAAAGCCATCATTAAAAGTTTCAATTACGTCCAAGAACAGTAAATAACAGTTAATTATTTTTCCTCTGCAAAATATGATAAAATCCTCATTTAAAAAACAGACTAATATATAAAATATAAAAACGTTACTTTTTATCCAGTTATATTCGGACAAAGGCTGATTTTAGCAAGGATATTGCCAAATAAGGTGAGCAGGCCATGCTATGTATCTACACCCATAACATGCTATCTTCCAAACAGTATCACCAACTCAACCATCATTTGTTTCAGAGCAACAAGCCAAACCACTGCAAGCCCTGCCTGAAGTCTCCTTTCTGATACAAGGCTGAAAGGACACAAGATTTTATGACTATTTGATAATTAATGACTGGGCTTCAGTGGTTTCATGGCCTACAGTGGCAAAGTAGAGTAAGTAATTTGGCTGGAATGAGTTGTGTCCTCAGCCACCTGCTGTCCTCCACTGCCTCCCTCTTTGACCTACTTGAACTAGCAGCTGCAAACTACAAAACACAAATAGAATCACAGGATATCCTGAGTTGGAAGAGGCACACACAGATCATCAGAATTGACCTTCTGACTCCACAAAGGGCTACACAGAAGTTAAGAGCACAGTCCAAATGGTTCTTGAACACCTGAAGGCATGGGGTCACAACCATTTCTCTGGGGAGCTTTTCCCAGCACTTGACCACCTCTCAGTGAAGAACTTTTTCCTCATACCAATCCAAAACTCCTCCAATGCAGGTTTTAAGCCATTTTTAAGCTATATTCTCTTGTACAGTCACCAGAGAGAAGACATAAAGAAGTTGCAGATAGCAATTCACTTTCCTCTTCCTTTAGCTGAGCAAACCTAGCATCCTTAATTACTCCTCATTACATCTTGTCCTTCAGTCCTTTCACCATCTTCACTGACCTTCCTGCTGCAATATTTTTACGTCCTTCTTAGATTATGGGGCCCAAAAGTGCACAGAGTACTTGAGGTGAGGCTGCACCAGTGCTAAACACAGTGGTGGAATCGCTCCAGCTCCAGCTGATTAGATCTGTTGTACCTAAGGCACCCCAGGATACAGTTGGCACCTTTCACCACCTGGGCACATCGCTGACTCAAAGCTTACAATCAACAAGAACCCCAAGGTCCCTTTCTGAATGGCTGCACTCCAATCTCTTGGCCTCTATCTATATGGATATTCAGACTTACAGCACCACAGGTGCAAAATCTGGCACTTGTCCTCCTTAAATTTTGTTATTGTCCAGCCCTCATAATCTATCAAGTTCTCTCTGTACACCTCTGTGCCCTTGAGGGAATTAATGTCTTCTCCTAATTTAGCATGGCAAACTTATTTAGTGTGTACACAACTCCTGTATCCAGGTCACTGATAAAAACATTGAAAAAAACTGGCCCTAAAACTGAGCCCTGAGGAACACTCTAGTGACTGGCCACCAGCCAGATGTCACTTCATTTACTCCAATTTTTTGAGTCCAACCCTTCAGCTCTACCAACAACTACCACGGCAGTAACAAGTTGGCTGTTACCTGGGTCGAGTGCCCCGGCCACTCTCACACTTTGTTAGCACATAATTCATCCATTTTCTGGCAAAGTTGATGTATTTGTCTCCAATTTTCTGCCTGAATTCTCCAGACATCAGACGAACAACTTCTTTATGGTACTGTAAGAAACTAAAGATTACTTTTCACATATTAATAAGAAGAACAATATCCACTGGAGTATTTGCAAGCTAACAAAATTCTACAGTATGATAACAGTCACATCCTATTCTTAGACAAAATTATTTTATGCAAGCAGTTGCCTACTTATAGAAAAAAATAATCAAGAAAAGTATGATACAAAATATGATACAGTGAGAGGCAGTACTGAGCCACACTGCGTTCTTCTGTGTGCATCAGGCACATGCTGATGTTCAACAGTGTACACATCACTGAAGAAACATCCTACAGAAACACTTGGTTCTGTAACCAGAGACTGAACTGCAAAGTAGTGTTTATTTTTAGTTATACTGCAGTAACTTTAGGGGATTAAAAAGTTATCCATGAGCATTTAAAAATCAAACAAATACCAGCTATTTCTTACAAGACTATTGTAGAAGTACATAAGGATATGACACAATCCTTAAAAATTTCTACAAAGCCCAGAGGAATCAATTAATAAAACAGTTAAAACATCTGAACACAACATTTTGAATGCCTGCACTTTAATGCAAGCACTCAAAAGCTTGTACTGCATCAAAGAACCACCACAAACTCTGAAGAAATGTCTCATGTTACAGTATTATGCTATTCTAGGCTGAAAAACAGTGAGAAGGTAAGTTAAACCACAGGGTGGTGGGGAGACCATCCTTGGAAGTACTATAAAAATGAGTAAATATGGTTCTTTGCGATATGGTTTAGTGAGCACGGTGGCACTCACTTGAGGGCTGGACCTGCTCTTGGAGGTCTTTTCCAACCTTTATGATTCTGATATCATCTAAAAAGCTGCTAAACAGCAGAGCTTACAAGACTATACCTGAAATCATTAAGTTCTTAAAAGATTTTTAAGATTTCCAGGCATTGCTAATTTAACAGATTTATCAGATTCATCTGTTACTTTTCAATTATTCTCAAGCAAAATTTCTGAGGTGATTTTTATGACGTCCTGCTAAAAATGGTAAGTCACAATTCACTAGAAATTACCAAATGTGAGGCCAATCCACATGAAGGACTGCAAGGAGGATCCAGAAAACAACAGACCTGTCAGTCTGAAAGTTATGGATCATCTAGTACAGGACAACCAGGAGATTAGGACCAGCCAGCACGGGTTTGTGAGGTCCTACTTGACTGACCTGATCTCATTCTATGACAAGGTGAGCCACTTAGTGGATCTGGGAAAGGCTGTGGATGCCATCTACCTATATTTTAGCAAAGCTTTTGACATTGTTTTCCACAGCATTATTCTGCAGAAGCTGGCTGCTCATGGTCCGGACAGAGGTTCACCTTTTGCTGTGTAAAAAATGGGCAGGATGGCCAGGCCTAAGGAGAGGTGCTACACCCTGTGGGCAGCCGGTCACTATTGGGGCTCCCCAGAACTCAGTTTTGGGGACAGTCCTGTTTTATGTCCTTATCAATGATCTGGACTAGGGGATCAAGGGCACCCTCAGTCAATTCACAGGCAACACCAAGTTGAGTGGGAGTGCTGATCTGCTGGAGGGCAGAAGGCCCTGCAGAGGGATCTGGACAGGCTGGATTGCTGGACCAAAGCCAGTGGGGTGAGGTTCAACATGGCCAAATGCCAGGTCCCACACTTGGGTCACAACAATCCCATGCAGCACTACAAGCTGGGAGAAGAGCGACTGCAAAGTTGCCTGGGGAAAAAAGACTTGAGGGTGCTGGCTGACAACTGGCTGGACATGTTCCAGTGTGTGCCCAGGGGGCCAAGAAGGACAATGGCATCCTGGCCTGCATCAGCAATGGTGTGGCCAGCAGGACTGGGGCCCTGGGCACTGCTGAGGTGGCACCTCAAATACTGAGTTGGGCCCCTCACTACAAGAAAGACATTGAGATGTTGGAGCAAGTCCAGGGAAGTGCAGCAAAGCTGGAGCTCAAGTCTTGTGAGGAGCAGCTCAGGGAGCTGGGATTGTCTGGCCTGGAGAAAAGGACATTCAGGTGCAACCTTACTGTTTTCTACAACTACCTGAAAGGAGGTTATACTGAGGTGGGTGTCAGTCTCTCCTCTCAAGTAAGAAGTGTTAGGACAAGAGAAAACAGCCTTAAATTGAGGGGAGGTTTTGACTGGATATTAGGAACAATTTCTTCACTGGCAGAGTGGTCAGGCATTAGAACAGGCCACAGAAGTGGTTGAGTCCCCATTCCTGGAGTTATTTAAAAGATGTATAGATGTAGACATGGTTCAGTAGTAGACCTGGTGGGGGTGAGTTAACACTTGGAAGTGATTACACTAAAGGTCTTTTCCAACATAAATAATTCAATAGTTCCATAAATTTTTTTATTTCCACAGTCATTAGTTACCTTATTTGCACCAATGCAAAACCAGAAACTTCAATTGGTTTTTGTTTCCTTACCTCAAACCCAAAATTATAACCCTGAATCATGGCTTCCCGGTAGTATTGCTGCAAAGTGGCAGATTCAGATTCATCAACTTCAGCATCAAACTCAGATGTGAACATGTGATCAACTCTATCAATGGCACTGCTTATCTTATTGCATAGCTGTAATGCATCATTCTGAGTAACAACAAAAAGGGATGGGGGGGCAGCAAAATATTACTTAGTCTTGTCAACTGTAGAATATAAGGAAAACATGAATCTAACAATTACATTCTTTTAAATGAAAAGGTACTATAATGCCACAAAAATTAATTCAGTCTTGAAAAAACAAACATTTTCCAGCAGTTGCATGAAGCAAGTCCTGTAATTAACTCAAGTATTATAATAAAGTTCTCTTGCATGTGATTAAAAACAAAGACAGCAAAAGAGTGAGCAGAGAACCAACAAAAAAACCACAAAACAAACAAAAACATCCAACCAAAACCAGACAGACAAGAAAGCAGAAAATGAGTTCTACTATCTATAGCGTGATCAAGCCTTTGGTTCTATTTTCACCTTGGTATCTGGACACAGCCTCTATTGAATGCAGGGACTTGATACTGCCACTTAGAGCCCAACAAACAAACAAATAAACAAACCAAACCCATCCAAGAAAACACTCATCAAACAAAAGCAAAACAAACAAGCAAAAAACCACACCACACCCACAAAACAAGCAAAGAAAGATTTAAAAACCCACATGAAATCCAAAACAGAGAGACTACCCACTTTTGCATTTTCAAATATAGGAAGAAAAGCTGTCTGTTGCAAATCATTGATTTTGATAAACTTGGTTTTAGAAAATCATACACTTTCTTTCAATTCAATATTGCTGCCACTCTGTTGCTATGGTATTTCATCTGCATTATGGACTTCTTTCCCAATTACCCAATGCAGAAATCATTACACCAATATAGCTCAAAAACACACTCACAAGTCATTTGCAAAAACAGAGTGGAAATTGTACTGAAAGTAAAGTCCATAGAGGACTACCACATAACTTACAATTGCAGAATATGCCATGAGCTTTGCAATCAAATCTTCTTCCACTTTTTTACTTATCACCGAGTAAAGCACCATCAGTTTTGATAAATAATTTCCAAACTTGCTTACCTTTAGCTGCTGTAGAGCTTTGGCAATGATTGGTTGGCTGGATGTCTGTTCCTGGTGCAGAGATATGAGCCCTTCAATAGAGTGCTGGAAAGCTTTTCTCTGACTCACAAGGTGGGCAGACTGAATGACTACAAGGAGCAGGTTATCAACCTAGAATACAAGACACCACTACTTCTTGTAAAGAAAATTCTCTCTGTAAAAATATATCAAATATCACCAGTTTCCAGTCAGTCATTTTTAAAATTCTAATCTATGAAAGACCTCTAGTCACTATTCATTAAAATCTAAATTCACACAGAAAAGCTTGATGCTGGCAACTAAAACTCTCATCTAGTGGGCAGAGCTCCATTAGGGTAAATGCCATAGCAAGTTTTCATGGGGAATGTGGTTCTGTTCACTTCAGGAAAACATGGGAAACACTGCATTAAATTATCTTCAGATTAGCTATACACAAAAAAAAAAAAAAAAAAAAGCTAAGCAAAAATAATATTTTCTTAAAGCAGATGGAAATAACAACCATCACATAAACAGAGGTTTTATCCAAGAAACACAGCATACTTAGGACAAAAGTCCACTATTGAAAAGGGAAAGAAAAGTATATGCTCAAAATTTTAAAATTATCAATATATGATATGTTTTGGAAATCAGAGCTCTGATATCACACAAGCCTATAACAGCATACAGTCACAGAATGGTGCTGCCATACTGGAGTTCTGCTGATTTCAAACTACAGATAATGCACCTACAACAAGTTACTCACAAAACAAGACCTACTCCATCCTGATTTTCAATTTTTTTCCTCCCCAAAGAATATTTTCATGCTCAGAATTCTTTAAGTGTTGATGAGATTCTTTCATTTGATGAGTATTAAACTAACACCTTACATTTTTTCTAGTTTGAAATCAAAATGCATTTTTTAAGACAAATCTTTCTGACTTTTTATTTCCTAATCTTTCAATCCTGCATTTAAAAAAACCCAGTGTTACAGACATATAAACACACACACATAGTGTTTTATGTTTATTTACATATGAAAGAAACCATTGGCAAACCAATTTTCATCTATTGCTATTTTTACTTTTTTGTTGTTCAATTGGAACAACAGGCAAACAAGAAACAACATGTTTGCACATTAAAAGCAGCAGTATGTAGAGGAGTAATTTTTTCAACTGTCTGTAATTGCCAGAACCTCCTGACTGCCAAAGGTCAGGCACAGTGACATGGAAAGTCACTCTCTTCTTGGACAGTACAGCCCATTTATGGTAGGGATCCAAGGAACTGCACGACATACCAAAAGGAAAATTCATATAGCTTTACATTAATGATATGAGAACACAAGGGGAAGGGAGCTGGCTCAGCTGTCAGAGTGCAGAAGAACTGCTGGCAGGGAAACCCTGCTGGCTTGGGAAGAACACCCAACTAGACATTAAAAGTATCTCTATTTTTTATACTATTATACAAGTACAACTCTGAAAAAGGCACATTGGTTGAGACCGATCCTGCCAGGAAATGCTACAATCCATTTAATATTTGCATTTAACACAACAAAGAATCAAATTCATTCCTGAATTTAACTTTGTATCACCTATAAAAGGACACATGCTTCACTTGAATCACTCCAGTTAGCCTGACAGAATAAGCATTCATAGGGGTGCAGAGGAAACAAAGAGTGGGGGAATAAGACCACACCCACCTGCATGGTGCGCAGCGTATCAACAGTTTCTACCTGTGGCACTACTTTGACTGGCGGACCCTCCCACGCACTCCAGCTGTCATCTACGTCACGGTCTTTGTCACTGTGTTTGGTCATCAGCAAGTAGGCCTCATAGGTAAGCTCATCTGAATCCTTGGAGCAATCCTTGCCAGCAGCTGCATTGAGGAGCTGCAGGATCACAGCCTTTTCCCCGGCAATACTGCCTGGTACAAACACTTGTAAACTCTCCAGTCCAGGAATTTGTATCTGTAGATAAGAAATACACTGAGTGAGTGAAGCTCATTGTCTTCATGGCAAATAAAAAGATAAAATAGGTACTTATTTAAGCAACAGGAAGAATCTCCACCCTAACGGGCGGTACAATATATGGACTAAAACGATACCTTCAGCTATTTTTGCACTGGAAGTCAAAATGCATTATAAATTATCTCTTTAGAAATCCACTGGATCACCATTTTCAGTGACTTTTTTCTGTGTACTTCTTCCATTAGAAAAATATGTAGAAGTTAATCCTTATACGTATTCTTCTAAAGAAATTTTGTTACAAAAGAAGTCCAGTTTCACATATATACTATGTACGTATGCATACACGAGTATACAATATAGATACACATATTTTAAAAGGTTAATTAGTCAACAAAGAGTGGAATATTAAAAGAAAAATTCCTTCAGAATTCACACATTTCTCAGTGACTACAAAAGACAATGAGTAAACAAAAATCTGTCTAAAAAAGTATCAATTATTCTTCTACTTTCATAAAAGCCAGAACAAATCCAGTTAGAGCATTCTCTTTTAATAAAATAGTGTTTTACTGCTACTGCTTAAAAACTTCCAATTATATCTGTCACACTGGTTGCAATACTTCAACCAACTTAGGCATCAGAAGCAGACTGTAAAATAGCCAGTATCTTGACTTGACATGAGGCAACTGAGTTGTGGTGGAGTTAAATTCTCTCTTTTCAGAGTGTCATGTTACCAAGCTAAGACAAAACACTGCACTCAGCACTTCTACCATTAGGCAGACATATTTTATAACTAAAGGGACTATAATCTGTAGGCCAACGCAAAATACTAGATGGTTGTTACTTAAAGCTAAATTAGATTCCCAAAACTAATGAGCATCCACCTGAAAAGGCTGTTAAAAATTTAAGGTCTGTACATGATATTAGAGGGCCAATATAGAAAGTGTTCATTATCAAAAGGTGTCATTTAACCCATGTTTAACAGATATGTCAAACTCAAGACACAATTTTTTCTTCAAAAAATGAACATCAGAAAAAGACACAATCTTTAAAAGGTCTACTAGAATTAATATGATGTCTTGAAGCAGCCAAGACTACATGTTTGGAGGACAATATTTTTTTAAAATAAACATATACTGATTTCCCTGGCTATTTTCCAACTCAAACAATTCACAGACCAGGGCCCTGCTAAGCCAATTGTTTTATCCATGTATTTACAATCCTTTATGAGCTTCTCTCCTATGAATTTGTGTGTATCCCCTTAAACAAATTTCTGTATTTAGCAAATATTTACATAAATCTAAGAAGAATTACGTCATGAAAAAGTTAGTGCATTATTTCCCAACTGCAAAATATATATTAAATGCATGGAAGACCAAAAAAGAACAGCAAATCCAAATACATTTGAACTGTTGAAGCTGAATTTTTAAGGAATTTCACAAACCCACAAATGTGGGACTTTACACTGCAGTAAACATGGATCAGCAAGAGCTTAACTTACTTTTGCTGTATAACAGTTTTCTAGCAACAGTTACTCTGGAACAGAGCCCAGTCCCTGCATTTCTCATGTCCTTAGTACTCTCCAGGAAACTTGCTAAAGCAGACCTCCACTATAATACTGTTGCTTTATGAAAGCAAAACACAGATCTATAGTCTGAGATTATCTACTCAAACATGTATCCATTCACCTCAGAGATCTGCAAGCATTTGTTTCATAGCGCTCACTACTAAGTGTTATTAAACAGAAAGGTTTTTCCTCAATCACAAAGAGAATCTTTGCAAAAAAAGGGATTAAGGCACCGATTTCCCAAAGCATAGACTAACATTCTCACTCATACAAGCACAAGTACAGAATTTGACTACCACAATTCAATATTAAATACACAACACTTTAAATGTTGAAATATAGATGTCCCCTTAAAACACTAGAGCATGCCAATATTTGACATTTTTCTCAGCATACTCAGTTCACTTTCATGCCTCTAAACTTTATTACCTATGTGAATTTACCTTCACATACTCTTTTGTTTTCAGAGCATTCAGAAGATCTCGCACAGGGGCTGACAATGCAAATTCTGCTGCTATTTCAAGGTCCTACAAATAATGACAAAACAAAGGAATATGCTTTCAGACTAAATTTCTTAAATGCATATAAATAAGAGGAGACTCTGTTAACTTACCTTCCTCAGCATTTTGGCAAAACCAAGAGCTTTGGAGGCCCTTTCTCTAGCTTCATGGAACAGCTCTTTCAGTGCTCTGCTGGTCTCTATAACAGACCTCCTGAAACATTGGTAGAAATGAAATGACAATATTTTAATAAATCATATTACACTTACACAGCCACTAGAAAATAATTACTTACATATATGTTAGTAAGAAGAACATAAATATTTGCAAGAAGCTGACAAATAAATTGAACTTGCGTAGGCACATTTTTGGTAAGAATATAAAAATCTAATTCAATTATCATTACATAAAAACCTCTCAGAGCCTGAACTAAAGAGAAGGTTACTAGGCTTCATAAAAACCAAAATGATGATTCATTACTACTGCAGACAGAAGTACAGTGATACAGAATGCAAGTTTGCATTCAAAGGAATAAAATACACTATGCATCTGTCAGAGGTAGAGAAACATATATAAGTGTTCTGTTATTATTAAGCCAAAAGGTTTAATACCTGATTTCATCTGATGCAGTACTGTCATCAGCACTGGCCCAAAATTCATCACAACTGTCTTGTAGTCCAGAATCTAAAAATATTCCTGTAGACTTCAGCAGCATTCCTGCAATATCACTGTAGCAACAGAAATGGTGGATTTCAGTGTCTTATTGAGGTAGCATGGCATCTTATACTTCTTCCTTCTTAGTGCAAGAGAGCTGTTTCCAAGTCCTTGTACAGAAACAAGCAGCACCTTGGGGCCCACAGAAGCCACCTGCACCTACTGCATCCTACACCTATGGCCACTGCAATAATCCATACATTGACAAAGACTAACAGCTGCTCAATGACATCTCAAGAAGTCCCATCTGGGAACCCCAAACAACTGCTGACTTGAATACTCCTCTGGTATAAAACAACACCATAAGTAGAGGAATTAAATAAAGCCTACCAAAATAGCTTTCCAGCTTGAGCTTCACCTCCTCTTATATAAGGAGTTATTTCTTTGGTGAAATTCCATTCTTCCTCTAACAGATTTTTTAAACTATGAGATGCTTGAGGTAACTGCTGCAGCATTTGGATCCAGCTTCGCATATAATCAAAGTAAACCTGAACAAGGACACAGATCATTTAAACAGAAATTGTTACACAAGGTGTTAAGGACTAGAACTTCTCAAATCAATAAACAAATTCAGTATTATACAAGTTTTAGAAGGTATTTCTACAATAATTTTCATTTGCTCCAACTGAAAATGAGCTCCGTGTTTTCACACAAAAGTGCAATTTATGGCTCAGCAAGTTGTATGTCTCCACAATACCTTCCTGAAAATATTGACCACCTTGCTTTCTGTGCTGCTATTTACCATTGTATTAATGAACACTCATAGTAGCCAGAGGACCCACAGTAGCCAGAGTTTTTAAAGCCTGAACTGCTGAAAAACAGTCTCTAAACCTTTCATTAACTGGATTATATCAAAAGGTTTTATCTGAACATATCCTCCTGGATATGGATAAGTGCTGTGAAAAGATTTCTTAGAGTCTACATTACACTTGCTGTTCCTTTATATCAAGTTTTATCTCTCACCTTTATTTAATTACTATGGTTTTAAACCAATATAAAAATCCAGGTAAGGTCATTTTTTCTTTAACCATTTGCCTTTCAGGATTATATTGAATGCAAAAAATTACCTTTTCTTTCAGTTTGTGGTGGTTTGACCATAACATCCCTACTCAAAAATGGTTAAGATACTTTCTATTGGTTTCAGGTATTTTCAAACTACACTGTAAAAATGCCAAGATCATAGAATCATGGAATATTTGGGGTTGAAAGGGACCTTAGGGATCATCTAGTTCCAACTCTTATCTTTCAGAGGCCAAGTGTTTTTCTTAAAAAGACTGCTTTAACTAATTGCAACAATGAGGAAATTAAAACTAAGGTATCAATTATGCATTAATGTAATGCCAATAGATAATGATACAATGTTAGGAAAAATAATATTTTATTCAATATTAAAAAGTTCAAACTTTAATTTGTTCAAACTTGAATTCAAATGAATTTGTTCAAATTTGTTCAAACAAATTAGTTCAAACTTACGGAATTTATAGTTCTATATATGAACCATTTTTGGTAAATACAGGCAATTTACAAGTATATTGTCTCACAGAGCAAAACCCAGTATTGCTAAAACAGCACTAGCCTGTATGTTACCTTTACAAGTCCATTAAAACAATAAAATTGTATCAAAGCAAGGAAAGGAAAAAAAGAAGAAAAAGGCAACCTTCTATTAGCAGTATTCAGATCAAGACACCTAGTTGAATGCTCTTTTTTGAAGCTTACCATTAACATTTTATGCAAATCCTCTTCAAAAGAATCAATGTTGCAATCAATCTTCTGTAAGTCATCTAACACTTCCCGTAACATGAACTGGTAATATTGCTTCATTAAGAGTCCACCCTTCAGAACTTCTTTACACTCTCTCACTAGCTGCAAGAGAAAAACCCCAAAACTGCCATCAGTCAAGACATTACTCTTAAATTCACCCCTTGTCAGCCCAGTTTGCCTAAATATGTTAGTCTGCCATTAAATAATTTCTACAGCTTTTTGAAACAAACACAGTTGCTCTACACATCTGCAGCAAAGATGTCACTAGCTTTCCAGGATTATTGCAATCCCATTATTTGCCACATCACTGTAAATGGAGATGGAGGCAGATGTTTCAGACTTACTCCCTGCACAATGCCACAGCAAGCAGCTTACTGGATAATTAGTTTAGAAAGGGGCAAAAGGGCTCACAGTCACGAAATCACCACTTTCAATGGAAGCAAGTCAGGAAAAATAAGCAATGTGCTTAACATATGCTTAGAGAAATGTTTTACTGCAGTGAATTCACTGTCAATCTCCTGGGCAGGTGCCCTCAATTCCAAAATCCGTATATGACTGAAAACGATTAGTGGGTTTTTGTTGCTTCCTTGGACAAAGCTAACATGATCAAAATTCACTTTTTAACTGCAGAAGGGGTTGCCTTTGGAAGAGCTGTCACCTCTCCATGAAAGCTTAGTCTTTATTTCAAGAGACATGCACAACCACATGTACAGGAGTACACAGGAGCAAGGATCATCTCAAACCTACACTAACAAGTTAATGCCCTTCTTTCAGAAGCTCTTCAAGTGCTAAGTGTGTATTCTGAGATCATCATCAGTCTTCAAGTTTGACAAACCCTGATTTTTTTCTGAGGGTCAGAGGGAATGGAATTATTGGAATTAATATGCTTTTTAAAATCTTCTATAATGGCTCTCCTGGCAAAGTAATATATCAACAGAGTGGACTCAATCTATGACAAATAATAATGCACAAAAGCAGAAAACACAAAAGAATGTTATTAGTATTACAAGAGTCTCTGGACTCCTTTACAGGCCAGAACACATTGTATTGCACTCCTGGATATGCAGAGGAAACACGGACAATAGTCTGAATGATGCAGTTTAAAATTTACCAAGTTAGGCATAAAAGGGTTAAAAAAAGTAATTTTTATAAAGTGGAAATCCAAATGGACACTTTTATATCCCTAACATGTCATATACTTTAAAATTAATGTCCTTCTTCACTCCACTCAATCACATGCAGTGTACTTTCTGTTAACCTATGGGGTTATTTTTTCTCTTCAATGCATATCCATTCCAAAATAAACTTGAAAAACCTCATTAAAAATTGAGTTTATTTAAATAATACAGGGGTATGCTATTGAGTAAAAGAATATAGGATCTACAAAAAACCAGCAGAGTTAATCTTAGTGCCAACTTTTGAAATTGAAATTCACGAGGCAGTGGCCAAACAAAATTTTGGTGTACAATGAGCACATGAAAGAATATACAGCTTAAACTGAAAATATTATCACTATAATTGGTTTGATGGGTTGCTTTTTGTTTAGGTAGTTTATACAACAAATTACTTTCTCAAAGCAGGTGGGGCATGACAAGCAACACCACATTTAACAACCAAACAGAAATAACCCACATGCACATACACACATCCACCTCTCAACACAAATGCTGAATTTAAAAACCATCTTGAACTGTTCAGGTACTAAACTGCCATTAAAACATAACAGCTCTCTCCAATAACACAGGATTATCAGGATTACAAAAGCTAGTACTGAAAGTAAAACATGGACAAAAAGGAGGAAGGCGGCAAGAAAGAACAGGAGGAAAGGCACATTGTAAAAGGCATATAATTGGTCTTAGTTTTCTTTTTGTGTATATACTTTTTATTGAAAATCATATTAATTTTTTAATACAATTGACTTGCTAGTAGTACAAAAATTTAATATCACCTTGAAAACGTTGAGTAACAAGGCTACCATACCTGATACATTCACACAGTACTGCTACATATTTCCAGTGGTGCCAAAAAAGCAAGAGACATTTAAAGGTCTCAGTGCCTCAAATAAGATTCACTAGGTCAATCACTACAAAAAAACAGACTCTGCTGTGCTACTTGCATACAAAGAACAATCAAGATGGTAAGACCATCTAACAGAAGGAAATGGAACAGTGCCACTTCCAGAATGCTGTGCTGTAGCACCAGCTCTCCTTCCTGAATAATATTTTGAAAGAATTGAAAAATCTTATGTCTCCAGTTAAGATGGCCCAGCTGTCTTGAGCTGTGTACAAGTTTTGCATCCCTGCCCAGTGGCCAAGAGAGCAGCATGACTGAAGACAGGTGAGTTGATCACATTTCAGATGGTCAGCTTCTGAGAGCTACAGAGTGTGATGCAGGACACTGAGGAGGCCCCCTCTCAGCTGTCTGTTCTCCAGGCTGAACAGGCCCAACTCCCTCAGCCTTTCCTCAAAGGAGAGATGTTCCAAGACCCTAATCATCCTTGTCCTCCACTGGAGCCAGTCCAGGAGCTCCATGTCTCTCTTGTACTGAGGAGCTCAGAACTGGACACAGCAGTCCTGATGCACCTCACCAGGGCATGAGTAGAGGGGCAGAACCACATCCCTTGACCTGCTGGCAATGCTCCCACATGATAATAAAACAACCTAATTTGGGGATCAATTAATTGTAGGAACCAGCTTCCAGAAGGCTGGACAAGAGAATCTCTAATCCAGTCTTCTCTGTAGTTCTGTAATACTCTGTGCACTTGCATAGTAACACAGACTCTCCTGGACTCTTCAGCTTCATGAACATTTTAGGAATGATAATTCTTCAGGAAACACAGCTCTATTTGCAAAACATCCTCCACAGCTCCCTTGCCTATACAGAAATATTGTGTGGGACAGGAAGCATTTGCTGAGTTGAATTAATTTTTTAAATGTCATTAGTAAGGCAGTATCCACTACCAAAACAGTCTGGTACAAACATATTGTTTTCCAGGAGGAAAATGTAATTTTTACTTAACTTGGAGTCCAGAAGGAGCACACAAAATGTTAAGGGGGAAAAAACAAAATCACCTCCATTTCTGAAGGATACACTGTGCATAACAACAGAGTATGCTATGCAGCAGATTACTCTGTGACTGTTAAGGCTGAAATTGTAGGCTTCAAATGGGGAGAACAAGGGAGAGCACAGGGCAGGAAGGAAGAGAGGACAAATTTATTTGGGACCACAAAGTAACACAGCAATGGATTTTGGATCAGCAAGTAACTGGGATGTGAGACCATAATCAGTATTTAGATATTTACTCCTGAAGATCATCTGATAAAGCCCCAATTGGGTTATGCCTGCCAGAATGTAGGGACATCAGATGAATTTAGTAGGTCCTGGACTACAGTTTGTAAACTGGCATTTGATCTAAACAGCCTTCATTGTACCTGACCAGCCTCCAGAAAATAAATCTTTATACAATACTCTCAACCAGTGACAAGACTGACAGTCTTGGGTCACTGCCCACAGAAAATTATACACTAGGCTGGGGAAGATTTTTTTTATTTCATTTTTCTTCTCAATGAACTTACACTACGTGACTACTGCATGTTAGCAGATGTCTTGCATTCACAAGAGAAAAAATCAAATTAAAGAAAAAAGAGAAATACAGACCCTTAAAACTACTTATATTGCCTAAGAAATCCAAACAGAAGATGTGCTAGAGAAGTTTATATAGCTTATAATGCAAATGGAATCAATACCATCTATTTCTGTTGGCTAATAATATTTTGAATCACTGGCTTCAATATGGAAGCCTAAATCACAGAGCTGTACATGACTAGCTATTTATGATGCAAAAAGCAGATCTGCATATGAAATACAATACTATTTACAAAATTATTACATAATTATACCTTGTAATTTCTTACAATAATCCTCTTTAAACTGACACCATATCATAATGAAATGACAAAATATTTCAAACAGGAAATACATATTAAAAAAGAAATTGAAGCAAACCTGTTTAATACTCAAAAGAGATGGCTCCCCAGCAGGTCTTTGTTCCAACCTCAGCTTGAGACATTCATGGATAACATTGAGCAGGACCCGGCAGAGAACCAAGAATGCCGGTTCAAAAGATGGCAAGTCCATGGATTTCAACTCCTCCCATGACACAGCACTGCATTTTTGCTCGCAACAAGGTGGGAAATTTAGTAACTGCACATAATCTGAACACAACATGGGATCTGGAAATTCCGAAAACTGTAACAAAAAATAGGTATCATGAAAAGGAAATTTAAAAGTCTTTAGGATTTTGGATTTCTTTAAAATGGCATGCACAGAAGTATGTTTTTAAAAAGTCTATTAGCTGGCAAGTCAACCACACAAGTTTCAAGTTTACATCACTGGGAGATTTTTATGTTAACTTTTTTTAAGGATCATCAGTCGCAGGAAAAACAACTATGGACCCTTTGGAATGAACAAAACCACTTTAGTTTCTGTTATGACATTATCTAGAGAAACAAGTGTACGCTAAGCTACATCAGGTACATAACTTCATTCCTTTTCAAATACATAATGCATATATTAACATAAAAAATTCCACATGGTAAATGAATGCAATATTCAAAAAAATATCACTAGCTAAACTAAGCCAAAGTACTGAAAAAGTAACTTTTGAATTTAGGTAGCTTTTAAATTTAAACTGTTTAAAAAAGGAAGAGGAAATATAGACACCAAGCTGGTTTGCTCTTTTGGGGATTTTTGTTCGGTTTTTTTTAATATTATACTCATTTTTCATTTAAATTAAGATTCCATTTAAATAAAATTACTTTTCTAATTAGAGAAAATAATTGAGACTCTATAAAATAAACATCCTAGAAATCTAAGCTATATACCTTGTGATAACATTCTAAGCAAGGCTGTACATGGAGGTACTCTGGGGTTTAATTTAGAAAGAAAAGTTGGACTGAAGAATGTGTAGCTCCTAAAGATACCAACACACTAGTCATCATTTAAGGATAAGATTTGTTTCAGATTAGGTTTGTTTTCTTCTTATTCCCATTTCTCAGCTGCTAACTATGACATCTGAATATCCTTCATTCATACAGTAGACATAACTAGCATTTTCTAGGTTTTTCTTCAGCCAAATTTAAAAAACATCACTACATAAGGGAGAAAAACATTACCAGCATTTAGATTAAGAGAATGATAAAACTACTGCCTAGAAAGTTTAAAAAATCTTTTAAGCTCATAATCTAGCAGAAAATTAAAACACATATTTACAAACATATCTTCTTAAATTGAATATTAATGTCTTCTTATTACTCTCTTTAAAAGGAACATATAACACCAGAACAGCATCAGAGCTAAAGATTTTTATACAAGAAGTTTTCATTAACAAACATATCATGAAAATACTACACTTCCACAGCACAAAAAACCCCCTTAAGAAATAGAATCCTCATGGTGATGCAAATATAGTTTAGGGAAATTCAGTTCCTATAAAAATATTAAAGAACTAGTCTATGAGCAAGAATTACATAGCCAAATTGAATAAATTTGCAATATTCCTGTCTAGCATCAAGGATAACAGTAAATGACATTAGGGCTTAGTACTAGACACCTAAACTTTTATTGTTCAATCTGACTAATCTTAATCTTCTGCAGGCCCAATCTGAAATATTTCATATACTTTTTATAAAAACCTCAAAAAAAACTCTAAGCCATTTATTGAGAGTGTACAAAAAACCATACTCCAAATTGCAGCCAGTTGAATAAACATCAAACAGGGTACACAAGCTTAAATACATTCTACTAAAATAATATCTGATCTCATATGCTAAGGTAGAAATAGTATCCATCTTCACCAAGAATGAAATTGTACAACTCCTATACAGAATGGACTCTGTAATGCCTAGAGCCCTGTTGAAGTATCAGAGCCTACAGAGAAACCAAAGATGTTTTAGAAAACATTAACACCAGGGACACAAAACACAAAGATTTACACATATTTAGGATGAAATGAGCATTATAATGTATACAGTGAAAGAATCCAGAAAGCACATTTTAGATGTGTTTTAGACACTGTTTAAGCAACAACAGAAACAAAAGTATGTCCAGAGACTTAGAAGTATACACATAAACACAGAGTCAAGTAACAGAAACTATAAAGATTAACAGAATACTAACAACTCTGTCTGCACACAAATACCAAACTGAACTGCACTAAAAAAAAGACACTACATTCAAAGTTCTGTCAGATGCAGAGACCAAGCAAATGAAACCCATCTCTTCCATTTTAGTATAAAGTCATCATTTGCTGCAGTAAGTACCTCAGTTCTGACAGAGTTGTTTGTGGCTTTTTTCTGGTAACGTCCTTCAAATGTTGGTGCAGGAAAGAAGTTGACAATTTATATATATATATAACATACACCTTTACTAAAAATCATTACTTAAAAGAGATTAAAGGTAATAATTACTGAAAATGAACATTCAAAGTAGTCACAAGGGTAGAGAAGGGAGAAAAGATTAACCTTACATCTTATACAAGTCATCCAACACTACATTACCAGAAAGTCTAATTCTCTGAAGCTGCAGCAAAAACTCTAGCTACTTAATCTTTTACTAACTTGTTTTAAAAACCCTTATGCAGTCAAAACTTTTGAGGTATTTAGCAGCTCCAAAAATACATTCAAAGCCCATTTTCAATACCCCCATATTATGTCTTGTTTACTTTGATTTTTTTAAATTTATTTCAACCTATATATATATTAAGCTGAACTTTCTAAGTGTATGTGGTTTGGGGGTGCTTTTGGTCACTCTAACAAGATACCTGCAAGTTTTGCTTAGGAACTTGACTCTAAGGAAATGTTCACACATTTCTAATGCAAATTTTCTAAAACACAAGCTGAAACCAATTAGAGAATAAATAAAATTTCAATTAATAGCTTAATTTCCACAGTAATATCTACACTAGTAACATACAAATAAAAATCTTTCAAAATTAAATAGCTTTATATTTATAAATTTATTCATCCTAGAAAAATAACTTCTAAGGGGGATCAGCAATTCTTAGTCCTTTTGCAAATGTGACAGTCAACATTAAGAGATCTGCAACATTTTGAAGACCACATATGATATCCATTTCAGAATGGGCATGTTGGCTAAGACATGCCTTTGTTCAGAATTCTCAGAATTTTGCCCAGAATTCTCAGTGCCACTTTACCAAGGAGATCAAGTAATCCTTACTACCAATTTCTCCTAGCATAAAAATGCCTACAAATTAGATAACAGTTTATATTAAGAAACAATACTCTGCATTGACAGAATTAGTGACCGCATCTTACAACATGAAACTACTGTACTTCACTTACTGCTTAATTCCTACATTGGTTTTATTAACTCAGTCATTCTTAATCAAGAATATAAAATGACCCAAAGAAAAACAACAATTAAGCTGAAAGCCAGCTAAAGAATGCAACACTAACATGACTTGTTTTCATAGATTTCAAGGTTGAGTCCATTCATTTATCCCATCACTCTTCAAGTATAATGTGCCATCACAGTACTTCATGTGTGTAGATGAGAAAAACCACCAAAAAAAAACTATAGTGACATTTTTATAAAGAATGTCTTGCAGAAAAATATCCAGTCTTGAAGACAAGAAAAATTACCACTTCCATAGCTGATTTTTCTCAAATTCAACTGTTGTGCCTGATTTTCCACAGTGATTTTTCTGACTTGTTGATTTAGACATTAGAAAATATAATGAACAAAAATGTTATCACAAAAATGTCATTTCAATTATGAACAATAACACAAATTCAGTCAAACGACAGATTCATTTCCATGGAAGGAAAACTGAGCTCACAATCATAATATATATTGTTTTTCAAAAATCAACTAAGCAACCAAAATGTTGATAAGATCCTAATTCCTACATTTTTAGTTAGGAACAACACAGCAAGGAGGTGCTCTTGTAATCCATTGACACCAGTAACCTACCTCCAGCTGGTGATCACTCCTTACTAACGCCATACGGGCCCTTTGCAATGAACCATGCATTAGCTTGTGCAGTCTTAAAATCAGTTTCCTCAACCCCATTTGCTTCAGTGCTTTATCAACAAATGGCCTGTAAATAGAGGTCAAACAGTGTTGGCCGCAGCTTCCCTCAGCGCTGCATTCTGGAATAACCCAGGAAGTAGAGTCATCCTCAGATTCAAGCCTATCAAGCCTCCTTGAAAAATGGTCCTGAAAGTCAAAATTTGGTTTATTAGTAAAATTGTTCTTGATGGCTTGTCTGAGTTCCTCAACATTCTCCTCAGAGATTTGTTCTTCACCATCACTCTCTTCTGTGCATGTTCCTGAGGACTCCTTTATTTCTACTTCCCTATCAATGTCTTCATCATCTGGATCATTGTCCTTAGACAGTCGAGGAGAAGGAATTTCAAACACTGGCCAGCCAATGTCAGACAGATTTTTGATGCCCAATACAGTCCCCATAATCCTTAGTTTCTGGTTTAAGTCTTTTGTAATATTTAACCATAGACAGAGTGCCTGCACCCTGTCTTGGAAGTCCTTTGCAGCATACTTTTCGTAGTCCTTTTGAAGAGCCTGCAGAGATGGATAAAGTGCTTCTATGTACTCCAGCAGCTCCATGATTCGCTTTACCTGCTCAAACGAGACCCGCTGCCGATGGAGGTGTTCATGGTAACTCGAGTAACCCAAAGCACTAGTTCCATGTGTTGATTTGCAAACTCCTTCTCCTGAAGTACCATTGAGACTGGCTCCATTTTTTACAGAGGAGAAGTTTCCATAGTCCACTTTGAAGGTGAGGATTTCATTGATGATATCGGGGATAGCTTGACGGGCTGCATAGAGATAGAGGTCTTGGTCATTAATGCTCCGGCCAGCATGCCAAGCTTGCAGCTCCAGCCAGATCAGCTCATTGGATCGGTTCAACCAGACAGAGGAGGTGTTTTCCTGTCCCCTCTGCTCCCTGTCCTTTTTCTTTGAGACTGAGGTAAGTTTTAACAAAAGCCGGAGGGTTTCAAAGAATTTTAACCGGTCTGCCGGGCAGTCGGTCCTAGAAGTCTGGCGCGTGGTTCTGGGTATTGGCATGGGCACAGAGACTGGAAGCTTAGCATGGCTACAGCCAAGGCTGAGGTAAGGCTTATTGAGATCAACATCTGGAATTGTTTTTTTTGGCAGAGAGCCACCAACTGAGTCTAACATAAATGAGCACTGCACATTTTTCTTGTGATCTCGTTCTGTTGTCCTTAGGGCATCTCTGATCTTTTTCCCTTGCTTATAGCTGTGCTCTTCCACATTCTCAATGGTTTTCCCATTGTCTTTATGCAAAGACTGAGATGGCACACTCATCTTTTCTGTAAGCAAAGAAAAAACAATGTGACTGCAGCAACAAAAACAAGCATATTTCAGCTCAGTTCCCAATCATTTTTCTTAGGTTGAGCATAAAAATGTTTAATATCAATAAAACAAAACAGGAATGGATAGAAGTAAAATGCTATCTTATTATTAGAAGTTACCACTACTATACCCTAAACCAAAGGATTTTTTCTTTTTCTATTGCTTTACCATTTTTTTTGCAGAAAGAACCTCAGGAAATTCTCATCTTGAGTATTTCTCATCTTGAGTATCCCAATGACCATGGTGTGACAGAAATTAAACAACCAAGTACCACAAGTAAAAGCAAGCCAAGCTCCTAATTCCCAAAATTCTTTCAGTCACCTAAATAAAGATACTTTAAATCTTACTTATAAACATCTAAAAAGTTATTTCAAATTTATTTTTATAATAATTAGTTACATCCAACCAACCTCTGACAGACTTCTCTCACTGAAGTAAAGCCATTCAAGCTCAGTAAGAGCATATGCATACACATTCAAGGTAAACAAACTACTCCACAAGGTTTTGGGGTGGCTTTTTTTTTCCTCTTCATAATACAAAATAACTGTTCTGAAGTGGTACACATAGGCAAAGTTAAGAAAAAAAACAACCATGAACTTTCCAGAAAATGATACTTTACACAACACTATCCAATTAATCAGGGAAAAAAACCTCAAACATATTTTAAGATACTCATGATAACAAAGAAAAGGATATTATCATGCCAGAAGTAAGAATCATTCCCCTCACAAATACAAAGACCTTGCTCCAAAAACTCTAAATCTATAAGCAGGGATAAACAATAACTCCTCCTTTCTCATAAAGGTATCAAACTTCCACGCGTGCTCAGAAGCAAAGGCTAACAATGTAATATAATACATTATATTTCTTTAGTATCACAATGTCTCTGTTTAGAAACTAACTCTTTTTTAAAACACTTAATGAAAATAGAAGAACAAAAAAAATCACCAAAAGCAAGAAAAGTTTACATGGTGACTATATACAGGGATAAAACAGAGTTAATGTTGCAACAGAATTTTACTTACTTTTAAATGTGCCTTTCAGTGAAGTTAAAGAGGCTTAATAATTCTAATGCCTACAGTTAACTGGCAATAGTAACAGGATATTTTTGTATTTTCATATAAGGAAGAGGTATTTTGGTGAATTCTGTCTTCAGTGATGTTATTTGGAGGTTGCATGAAGTGAATGGGAAGAGAAGCTTTGGAAAATGTTTGTGTTGGCCCTTCTTTTATTACGAACTTGCATTCCAAAGCCCTACGCAACCAAAGAATTTACTATATTCCCTTATTCACCCCAAAGAATTCACCTTTTTCTTCCCTACATTTTACCTCCAAAATGTTACCCTTGCTATACACTCTAACGTTTCCTTGTTTCATGTGAGCCAATTTAAAAAATTGCTTCCAAAACATTAACTAGCAATAGTCAAGCTGCCATAACTCTGGCAAATAATTGTTTGACATAGTTTGTTATTTGTTTAAAAATATATTGAACAAACAACAAAACAAACCCACAAAAATCTAGTTGTATTCTGTATGAAAACATTGAACATACAATCTTAAATGGCTTTTTTGCACCTATGCAATTTCAGAAACAACAAAAAAATCATTTTAAGCTAAAAGGTTTTATTATGTGGTACCATTACCTAGCAACATTAGGGGGAAAATGCATATCAAGTATGGGTTTTCCCCCAGAATCTCCTTATACTAAAGCACCAGAAGCAAGCAGAAGTAACTGCACTTTAAGTGATTCACTGACATTAAAGAGTAAAGAATAATCACTAAAAATTGTATTTTGCAATAAACAGCCTGTGAAGTGCTTCAGAACAGGAAAAGTGAGCAGAAAAGCAACTACACCATTACTATAATCACAGAATCGCAGAAAAAAGCGATTAAAAAATACTTCTGAAAGTAATTTTTTCCAACTTTCTCCTCAAAATTGGGTTTATTTCAAAACTAGTTTAGCCTGCTCATAATTTTACCCAGTTCCGTTTTAGAAATCTCCAAAGATAGAGATCTCACAAGCCAACAATCCCTCTAGTAAATTTCATTGTCGTAGCAAAATTTTTTTTCTAAGACCTAAGAGCCTTCCCTTGTTGCAATTCACGACAGCTGCCTCGTGTTCTCTCACTGTACCTCAGCATCCAGCTCCACCTTCTGTATAAGTGCACCTCCACCAGGTAACAAGAGGCATTTTAGGGAAGATCCCAGGCACCACACCTACCTTTCGAAGTGGAGCGGCCAGCAGGTCTGCTGACATTATTTTTCTGGTGCTTTGTTGACATTCGCTTCATCTGGCGGGGTGTGCTGGGAGGAGAAGCGCCATAGAAAGTGTCAGCACTTGCTTCATCTGATAATTCCTCAGGGTCGGATTCAGAGATCTTGGAAGTAGCATCTCCTGATTTGCACTCTTTCCTGCAGAGAACAAGATAAACCATTACAATCAAGATAAAGACATTTTACTTGCAAGATCTGCTTAAAAAGCTGTTTCATCTAAAAATCACAACCACAGTCAACCTTCTCTATTTTATGGTCACATCCATGTATACCTACCCCAGTTTTTTTCATATCCCTAAGGATAAGTTTCCAGTCAAATAAATAATAGGCAACATACAAAGAGGATGGTATAGGCAGTGTCACTAGAAGAACACAATGTAAACATACACATATATGTATCTCTTCCTGAAAAGACTTGTGGCAAGCCTGAACTAAGAGATGCAGTAAATAAACAAAGGTTCAAACATACAAAGATAATGCAGGACATTCAATCTAATCAGTAGCAGGGACAACAGCAGAGATCTTCTCTTCCATCCTCCACCCTCTAAACCCCTCATATCACAAAGGCAACTTCTAAAATCACTCTCCCACCCTTCATAAAACTTTTATCTAGCATAGGAGATCTGGAAGTATTTTTCATAGATTTTAACATCAAGAATACCATTAAGATCATAAATAAATACACCCAGTGGTGCCATACATGGAATTCTCGTGCTTAAACACATATCAGGGAGAACACCACACACCATTTTCAGAGCAAAAAAAAGAAACTCTTTGCCTGTATTTCCTCACTTATTTCTGAAGCAGGTGTGCAAATAACAACTCTACAGAACTCTCAGTAACTCTTGACTTGAGTAAAAGACACTGAGGCAAAGAAATAGTAAATCTAAATCAGTGCAAGATAGCATCAGTATCTGATAACTTCAATTTCATTCAAATCACAAATTATATTTTACTTGCTACTATTTTAGGGGCAGACAAGGAATGTTATTCATAACTCTAGGGAAATGAGTCTGAGTTACTGCAGCAAGAAGTATGTCAGAATATTGACAGCTAGTAGAACAGCAGTAAGGCTAATGAAACAAAAACAAAACACAAATACTCTTCTTTTTCTTGGTCTTCAGCTATAAACAGAAATAAATACCTTAGCATGCAGAACAGTTATGTTCTCTACAAAGCCACAGAAACACTTAGTGCATGAACTGTTCTACTACTTCAGCTTTGAGAAGGCAGCAGGCAAGTTCACCAATTTCTGAAGATAAACTTTACTGGTTACCCAATAAAAATGACCCAGGTGGTATCACAGCACCACCTGGAGTCCCAGGAGTGCCCTACAATGTGGACATGGTGACAACCACATAAAATCACCAATACTTTTAGTCTGGTTTCCTTGCCTTGGGACATCATGCTGCAGCTGAGTCTCAGCAATGTGATTCAATCAACCCCCACTGTCCAAATATAAAAAATAATTCTTACAATTGTTCCTACAGATCTTGTGAAAATAGGGGGATGAGTAGGAGAAATGGATCTTGAGCTAGGAAAGTAGAATTCAAGTTTACATCTTTTGGGACACCAGAAGAGCTTTACTTCTGAGAATGTTTGCAAACACTCCTACTGCAAAACAGGCAGAGAACACCCCTCTGATCTTGCCAAAGACAAACCACAAGAGACTAAACCACATAAAACAGAAGTCATTAGTTCCAGCACTTATGGAGCCATTTATTTTTTCAGTGATCTCACTGGCCTGGCAAGGCACAGGGTGGAGTGCTGATGCTCCTGCAGAGTCTGGCAGAACAGATCCTGCAAGCACTCACGTTAGGTGTCCAAGGCAGTTTTAAACTAGGACAAGTTACCTCATTAGGGGAGACCAGTGAAAACACTGTTTTCCTTCTGTTTATAAGTAAGCAACCTCTTTGAAAAACTTAATGATCAAAACCTCTCCACCAAGCCAAACTAAGTGATCTTTAAAGAACTTTATGTTATTTAAAGTTATGGTCTCTATCTCTGGAGGCCATCTCTGTAGATGGGGCCCTTACAGGACATGGTTTATTGGTGGACTTCAACACATTACAGTCAGACTCAATCTCAGAGGTCTTTATCAACCTAAATGATTCTATAATTCTACCTTGTTTGTTTCTTGCTATGTCTGATGAGAGAGCATGAGTGCCAGAAGTATCCCAATTACCCTCCAACCTCACACCTGAACTACATATACACCTATACAGCAGCATCCAGTATGACTTACTTAACATTCAACCATTTTTGCTGGGTAATTTAGTAAGATGTTCTTTGATAAGAAGCACAGCAGACATCACAAAACATGCAGCACTTGAAATCATATCACAAAACCAGCAATCATGCTCTCGTTCGTAACAACAGATGCAGTCTTGTTAGCAGCTGGTGACATGAGCTAACCAAAGCTGGCTGCTCTGCTTAGAGAGAAAGGCACAGGTTGCAAAGCAAGTTTTAAAAATCCAGCATACTCAGAATTTGGGTTTGTGTGCAAAGCCTATACCTCAACTCAGTGTCAATTAATACAATGAATCAGTTTCATCAGTGCAAACCTTATGGTAAAAAATGCACCAAATATACAGGGTCTGAGCTAAAGCAGCTGCATCAGCTTTGACATGCCAGGATCAATTTTCCTAATCCACACAACAGCAGACATACACAGTCTTCATCAGCAACACCAGTACTGAAATCAGTTATGGTTTTACAGATTACTGACACAGCATTTGCAATGTTTGTGTGTTATTTACCACCATGAACAAACCATAGACTAATTAAACCTGCCAATCTCTAAAACGCAGTGCTGGCAAACCTGAATCAGATTATAGTGGTGGTTATTAGACAGAATTGTTGGTTCCTAAATACTGTTGCAACCAGGGTTGAGAAACATTAATCAAGGCTAATTTCTTCTTAGCTACCAAGATATGCAGGTTTTCTCCCCCACAGCCAGTGAGAGCCATCCAAATCTCAATCAGGCTTACACACAAAGTGAAAGCCAGAAATGTGACAAATGCAGTTACTATTTGCCAATAGCAGCCTAAACCAAATCCCTACTAGGAAAACTAGAAGTGTGTAATTTTCATATTCTATTCACAGGTTCCCAGTCTCGATTTTCATGAGAAAAATGCTTCTTGGAAATTTACCCTTGGAATATAAGAAAGACTGTAGCCAGGATGCATAAATCACAAATATTGTAAAAGTTTTAAGAGCAGTATGGTAATAACAACAATCAAAGCAAAACACCTTGACAGCTCTGAAATGCACCAAAAAAACCCAACAAACTCAGAATGTTTCCAAAAGTAACTATTGTATGTTATAACAGGGTGCATTTCAACCAGAAGCTGAAATGACAGAATGCATAATTTCTTTAATTTGTACTTCTGGATGACAACAGGATTTGTTGTTTGGTTGGTTGGTTTTTTTTTTTTTTTTTTTTGCTAAGTAAAAGTGATGGCAATGTATTTACAAATCCAGATCAGTCATAAAAATCAAGATAATTCTTGTAGATTTTCAAAGGCCTGCAAACAAAAATAGGAAGGGGGGATAGAAATTAAGGCATGAAATTTGAAGCAGCAGGGCATGAAACAAAAAGTCTGGTAACCACCACTACTGATAAAGGCCACAACCTCCAGAAAAATATGCTCATTAATCACTAAAAAAACAATCAGCAAATTAAAAGACCACTGAGGATCACAGGGGAACATTACAATAATTAGGCTGAAGTAGGAGGAATAAGATTTTTAACCAGCACAAAATTTTGCAGTTTCCTGAAGTATCATTCAAACTTGCAAAGTTTGTAACAGCCATTAATGAGAGATCATTCTAAAAACTGTGAGAGCTATATGGGGAAAAAAACATCTTTTTACTCTTCCCTTCAACCAGCTACCCTTGTCATAAGCAGGAGTTCAAATACATGAGGCACTTCCACAATGAACTCAGATTCTTGCGGAGGGGGGCGTATGTGGCCCGAAGTTTAGAGTCCGACTAGCTGAGGGCGAAAGACCGACGCCCCTCTGCAATTCCTGGCCAGCACCCTTCGGCGTCTGATGGCCTCGGGCTGCGCTGGCTGCGGACTGGCTTACACCGCTGATATTGGCGAGGAACGGAGCTGACCATTTCCCGGGGGTTAAACATCGGTTTATTGAAGGTATTGCAGGATCTAAACGCGGGGAAACCAACTGGGAAAACTTTTTTTTCAATAGGGGGTGAAACAGGATTATAAAGGAGGGGGGGTGGGTACAGGGGGAACCAATCGGGAAAGGTGAGGGGATGAACTTCACAGAACTGACACTCCATGGAAACCAATAATCAAAAGGTAAAGGAGGTGTCCTGGGACCCCAGCCAACCACCATCTCCAGAGAGGAGAAGGTTCTCGAAACCTGGGAGGAGAAGAGGGTGATTGACTGGGCCCAGGGAGGAGACAACTTTCACTTATAAGGGAAACCAGGGGAGGAGCAATTACATATCGGCAACTATGAATAGCGAAGTTACCATAGCAACTTATCTGACAGGGTAGCAGTGGCGGGAAAAACTGGGGGAACAAAACCATTTTACACATAATAGGGGAGAACAATACATAAATTGGGGGAATAACACAAGAAACTTAACAACACACTACAACAGGTTCAGCCATTGCTCATCATCCCATGGGCAGGCTCAAAGCCAGCTGGGGGTCAGAGCAGCAGAGGTCAATGGCCGGGACCACAAGCACATGGCATAAGTTTGAGTTCTGCAGCTGCCACACAGGAGCCAGGATTGTCACCCACCACAATGGCCTGGAAGCTGTGCACTGCAGACACTGCTGCTGCAAACAGCCTCCTGCAGCTTCAAAGACATCACACCATGCAGGAATCAGGAAGGCTCTTTCTCAACACTTCTTTCAGCACCCTGCCACTTTCATACAGAAAACTGCAATATCTTTACAGGGTCCAGCCCCAAATTACCAAGTACCAGCTCCTGACATTCAGTGTCTTTGTTTTAAAAGCAAAGTATCTGTTTTTCAAATATATACTCCTTAACTCAGATTCAGCTGGATAATTAATGCAGGAAGACAAAGCTACATTAGTCTGTTCTTAGTAAAGCACATTCCCAGTCAGCAAAAGCAGCAGAAAACACAGGCACTACACACT